TTTTAGACAATTTTTTTGTTTTTAAAAAATATAAAAATTTTTAAAATACATTATAAAAACATAATAGACCCTACGTTTTCTATTTGTTTTATGACATGAACTCTGAGGTTTATATGAGAAATTCACTGACTACCTTAAAATTTTTATTCCCTGGCGAAGTTCGGACAGCTAGTATCATTATTAAACTTACAAACAGCCCAGGGGCAAAAAGGGGGGGGGTTTCCTTCGCGGGAATACCTTTTCCCCACTTAGGGACATATTACTTAACGCCAACTTAATATTCGCTTCGCTAAACCAATATTAAAGTTCGATTCAAATGAGTAATGTCTATTATAATCATGTTTGCACATGGAAGGTCGATATTTTGAAAACATTGCGTCAAATTAATACCAGCGAACGATGTAATTGAATTTTATTTGATAAACACGCTATTGTCATACGATAATAATATAACATTAGAATCGAATTATTTTATATATATCCCTTAATATCTTTTACAACTGTCTTAAAAAAAATCAAATCTGTACAATTCAGCGCAGTTCAATATATTTTTCGTGTCTTTTGCTAACTAGGGAACTGTGGAATCGACTCCGGGTGGGTGTCTTCCCTTCCTTGTTAAAAGAAAGAGTATACTACTTCCTCGAAGGCCGGCAACGCACCCTAGTGTCCATGGGCTGCGATAACAGCACTTTTTGGTCGTCACGTAGGCTCGTTTGCCCCCCCTTATACTACAAAAAAAGACATGTTTTTATAAGACTAGCGTGGTTTCGAGTATTTTGGCATTTTTTGCGACCTCGACAAAAACCAATATTTCAATCAATTAAAAAAAAACATTATTAAACACCTGCACCTGGGGAGGTCATTCGTTGAGTTTATTGCATACATATGGACGCAAGAAGATTCCTTTTATAATATGTACAGCACACATGAGTCGTATTAGTTGATGGTTAGAGATGGTTTGGTGATGATTGAAAAGCGGTTGGCAAGTAGGAGATACAAGGCAACCGTGGATGGTGAAATCGGGTTGGGTAGTCCTTGCCGGACCAACTCCAGGAGGTAATAGAGAAGGGACCAGTTAAAAGTACCCATAATCGACGAGCATGGTGAATATCATCAATATGGATGAAGCGAGAGAGGTATAGGACCGTAGCAGGTGGAAATCCGTGCTCTCTGCCTTCCCCTTCGGGAAAAAGAAATTAAACAAAAGTCACTTTAACCATTTTTTAACTTTTTTATATCCGAAGTGGAAATGCATTAGCGCATCCCCTGCCCTCAAAAGTTGCAGGGGTATGTGGGACTCGACCCACGCAAAAAATCTCTGCTATTCAGAGACTGGGTGAGCAATACCTACTAAAACCACCTCGAGTAGTTCCTACAAAGCCGTGTTACAGATGCTCCGCGGTCGCTGTCGCATTCAGACCTCAACGGCAGAGTGCACTCAAAAACCTCCGGTGCAGTATACACTATATAGGAGGTAATGGGCATATCTTCTCCTATTTACTCACCGTCTTCTACCCCTAGGATTCGTCCTAAAGCGTTCCCTCTCTCGCTCTGCTGTCTCCTTCTGTAAGATACAAGTTCAAGCCTTAGATTATTATTATTATTATTTATTTTCTCCACATCACTATCTTTACAGGCTAACCTAATACAATAGTGTGGTCCTTAAATATAACATATCATAATAGAAATAAATTAAATCACTCCCTGTTACATTTTGTATATAATGATAAAGAAATGCTTAAAATTGGTGAAATAATAATTACTAAAGGAATGAACGTAAATATTTTTAAAATATTGCATAAGTCTTGAATTTTATTATTACAATAAAATTGTATTCTGTTTTGAACAATGTAAATATTAATTATAACATATAACATAAAGTGCGATTTTTGTGAACTCACTCAGGGAACATCTAAAAAGATGGAGTGGAACCCCGACCTCGGGGTGCAGATACCACTATGTGTCTCTCGGAGCCACGCGTCGTTAGTCACTTTAACCTGAGTGATTAGTGAATAATTATAAATAATAAATTTATATAAACCTTTGGACTAAATCGACATTTACAAATAATATTTATACGAATGAAGCATGTTGCAACTTCAAAACGAATTCCGTATTTATTTATGACATAGAAAAAATATTTATTCGATGCAAGGTCGTCCTTTGATCTCTTTGGCATAGAACCAAAACGTAAATTAGCGTTTCATACGACTTTTAAACTGTATATTTGTTTAATTGTAAGTTTATAACTGTGATGAATTCCTAATAAATCTGAATTTTAGATGAATCCAAAAATAGGTGAAATTTTCGTGTCTTTTCCGTTTTTATTAGCGACTAACACGTCTTTTGTTTTCAAAGTCAAATCTTTATTTTAATTAGGCATATTTAAAAGGCACTATTGTAAATCAAAATTACAAGTTAAAAATATATAAAAAATGTCACTAATAGTCCAATTAATCCAAAAGGTCCATACTTACTCTTTTAGTAATACCTAATAGTTTTTCCAATATTTTGTATGGCTTGCGACTCAAGCTTAAGGTCGTGAGTTTGATTCACAGCTGTTATATATCTTTCTACATACAATAATACTTGCTTCTATACTGAATGCATCCATGTCTTAAAACTTTGACGTCAGGCGTCAGGCACAATCTGATCATCCATTTAAAAAAGACGTCAAAACTCTTATAGACTTACTAGATCAAAATTTGTAAATACATAATGCTATATCTACAGTATATGTTGCAAGTTATCATTTCTAAAATATATGAATATTTTGGTAAAAATAAATCTTACAAAAAAAATTAAAACAACAATAATACTAGTAGTTTTCTGCTTAAAAACAGCAAAACAGCGGATGAGATAGCACTTAACAATGCTTTATTTAAAATTGATCAGCCCACTACCGAATATATCCAGCTCCGGATAAGTACTGTTTAACTGTTATAATCGCGAAGAATTTGAAATAGTTGTCACAACAACAAAAGGAAATCTCATATAAAAATATTGAAGATAATTTCGTTTACATCAACTTGTAAATTACTTTTATCAATTCCTTATACAAACGTTCTGAAGTAGGTAATATGCAGAATATAATCTTGCTACGAAATTGACGATAAAATTTTATCGCAAAATCTCGGGGATAGGGTATCCAGGGTTTTGGATTCTTTGATTTAATTTTCTATGAAATTGTATTCTCGTATGAAATCATCGATGTTATTACATTCATGTCTTCGCTTTTTCCGGAAACCAAATCCCAATTCGTTTGAGAACCCTTAACAAATATATTTGGCAATATAATAATGTCCGATGGAATTTCCGGACAATTATTGACATCTTTATACAAAAACAGCTCCTCAAGTCTCTTTTAGTTTATCGTGTGTTAAGTGTCCCACAGATATTTTTGAAGTATGATATATTATTATTTAATCAGCCTGCTATACTAGTAATTAAAAAAATTTAGAAAAAAAGATTAAGATTAAGATTAAAAATTTTACAGTCTTGAATTTCCGATTTTCCGAATTGTGCTCGCAAATATTCTTTAATATTACAAACGGTTGGTTACCCTAAGGAAAATGTATGTAAATGTTAGGCAAAGAGGTTCGCAATATTTTAGATACTTTACGACCAATAACGGTGTCTCATTACGCTAATACATATTATTTTCTTACACAATGAACCAAAAGTTTGCTAAACACATCTTTGGCCATCATAGATTACGATAATTTCACGTAAGCATTAAGGGTACCTTAACTTAACTTCAATCCCTGTTTGTGACCCAACTATTGACAGGTAAAAATATTTATCAACCATTGAAGGCGAGTCAAACGTTAAATCCTTTTTATAAATAATAAATAGATGCTGGCTGTTAATAGATATTGCTTTTTATATTGGTATAATATATTTCGTTTAAAATTCGAACGTATTCAAAATAAAGTAACCAACGTGATTAAATAATCATACTTAGTCTGTGTAATAAATTAGTGGTAGGTTTTATTATATTTATTTATTTATTTAGTGAACTACTAATATATTTACATGAAATTTGACTGTAACATATTTTTGTAAGGGTACTTGAATATTTGAAAATCGAATTACACAGTAGCATACTTAATTTTTTACTTACAATTTTTTATAAATTGGACAAGGACATATGATCCATAAAATCGTATTTTTAAACCACGTTATTGGTGTTGCATATCCTCCATCACCCCCTGTCTGCAGCAAGCCTTAGCGCATGTGTAAGGGGGGCTGTAAGGACCTTTACTTCCTTTGCTGACTAAAAAAAGACTGGTCGTCACTTGCAATTGAAAAATCGTATTAGGCTAGTAGAAAATGACCAAAAAGCAGACTATTACAGAAACTCGGTCATGTATATCATAATTTATTTTGACATTTACAACATCGCGCTGTTTTGTTTGGCAGGTCATGAGTTTTAGAATTAGAATTTGCGTTCTAGCTTACATATTGTTTCTTTAATGATCGTAATTAAATGAAACATTAATTTAACATTGACAGTGTATAATAAATAATGCCCTCAAAGGCCGGAAACTCACCCAATAAAATAGGTGTCTATGGTCTGCGATGACTGCCTTTTTTGGGCGCCCCATAGACTCGTTTGCCCCCCTATTCATAAAACATTCGTAAATCAGTACTAAATTAAAATTAACATCACACACACAGTCTCACAGTTATTCAAATTATTATTTAAATAAGAAAAGCACGTACCAATTATTAAAAGGCCGGCCACGCACTCGCGAGCCTACTGGCATTGAAATCCATGGACTGTGGTATCACTTACATCAGATGAGCCTCTTGCCCGTTTGCCCTCTGTTCTATAAAAGTACTCGTATGTATATCAATTCTATGTTAATATATTGAAAATAAAACTGTCCTTTCTCGACCTTCGACTTTCTTTATAGTTCAAGCATGGTCAAGACACTTGCTAAATCAAATCAATTCCATTTTTAAAATTCGAATTTTAAAAAATTACACGTGTAAAAATGTATGGTTTGTATAGTTTTGCGTTCGTGAGTAAACAGTGAGTAACAAAGTGAGTAACAAATACTCCCGCGTAGTACAAGAATAAATCGCACGATGTGGTCGGCCACGTGTCTCGCTACACACCACAACCGCAAACATTTAAATCTAAAATAGTGGATCTTACATAACATTAGAAAGTTTTTACATATATATTAAATATAGAGCAGTGTGACTCTCATCCCCAATCGACTTTCTTTCTATGTGCGCATTTAACATTCGCTCGAACTGTGAAGGAAAACATCGTTAGGAAACTGAAATGTCTGAGACCCAAAAAGTCGACGGCGTGTGTCAGGCACATGAGGCTGATTACCTATTTAGACTGGCGTTTTAAGAATTGGTACGCTCTCTTCTTGAAGGACCTTGACTTGGTTCGAAAATACTTCAGTGAAAACTGCCTTAAACTGCCTTAAAAACGCTCAGTTGTGGTCCTTTCCAAGTCCATCTTCTTCTTCAGGTGCCAATTTTTTGTTAAAGGTTGGCTGTTACGTTCCGCAACCACGAGCTCTTCCTTCTAAAAGCCTCTCTTGAATTATTCCCATCCAAGTCCATAGTCGTTGCTGAAATTGACTCGCAAACTCTATTAACTATTTAAACGGATTTAATAAAATCATAATTATATAAATTACATATTACTACGCCTTCATTGATATAACCAAGAAAGTTGTGTCTCCATGACAATGTATAATAAAATCAATAAATTATGAACTTACCGGAAGTTACCAATTGAGTCATAATAGATTCAAATGGAAGGTTACTGATGTCGTAACAATACAAAGTCCTTGGCTTCGTTTCATTATTTTTATTAACGATTCGAGGATATCTTTAGTCCAATATCGCTTATATAAAAGAAACAGGTCTAAGTTGACGATTTAGATATCATAAGATCTCTCGCCATAGACGTTGTTTGCTCTCGATGTACAGAGCTGAACTTTGGGTCTTACGGCTCAACTCTGTACTGTCATCTCGAAAAAAATGTAGTAAGCCTCTGAATCTAACACTTCTCAAGTAATTATATTTTTCTTTACATCGGCCGTGCAGGTTAGCATTCAATATTGTAACAAAATTGCAAAATGCCTATAATGCTTTGTATTTGAGTGTCAGCCTCTTCATACAGTATAGATTTTACAATTATAATCCTTTTATAACATACAATCTAGAAAAATATCGATCCCTTTTTGTCAAAGCATACACAAATTTGTCAGAAAGAGACAAATGATTACTTAATTTAATCCTACACATAAATGAATAAATAAAACGCGATAAATCAAAAAACGCTTCCTGATGCTTGGTTGTATAAATATATAATATTCGTTTTCATAAATAAACAAAATTTGACTCATCTAAAACCATAGTAATTTTAACGTTGATTAATATATAAAAGCCATAAATTAATGACTATTTCTAACACGTCACAAGAACAAGACTATTAAATTAAACTTGAACAATACCAAGTTTACAGGCCAAGTTGTTTTCCCGACAATGCCTTTGTTTGTGCAAAGGCCTTTGTCATCTGAAGCCTTTATTTTTAATTATACTTGTTATAACCAAATATTAATGGTAATACATCACTTTATAGAAGTTATCTAGGTAAATTTTTCGAATCACGGCTCCACTTTAAAACAGCTCCATAAATTTTTTTCTACATATTTTTCATCACTCAGCAATTATTAACCCCATAGATTAATTAAAACATCATCATTTGTGAAATAAATGAAAACATGGATACATCATCAATCATGCATGTAATATTATCAGATTTTAAAACTTTTTTAAAGGGCCAAAGCTATACGCCTCCTTATTAATTATTATTATGGGGGTACAACATACTAGTTCTGAGTTTCTACACAAACACAAAATGGTTTATAGAAACTCATAACTAAACTCAAATAGATAAACTCTTCTTTACTGTTCATAACTGTAAACTATGTTACCTATATGAATTAATTATAAATTGAAGAGAAGTAGGTATCTATTTGAGACAAAACATCTCGGTTTCTAGTTATGTTCTTATTAAATTGATGCCAAACTAAAGTTACAATTTGTATTGTATAATAAATATGTTCACAAATATTAAATTACATTGCGTTTATTCCACTTCGTAAAGTAATAAACGCGTTCTTAAAATGTGTTTATTGTACAATACGAGTGGGCTACTTAAACCATATTTTTTTTAACTATAGCTTTTAATTAACGAAATATAATCTTATGCAATATATAAGACGGGTTTCCGATGATTTGTAAAGTTCAATATGTTTGCTCATTGTTGCGGCAAAATTTAATAAGATTATTTTACAATAGAAGTGATGTTCATTTGAGCGTGTTCCTTTTATACTATCTTCACCTGCTCTTTAATAATAAAGTTAACATGAGTATAAGTGAAAATATAATCCAATTATATTAACATTTCCAGCTAATTGTACTTGTAAAATCGTAAATGCGTAAATTATATATTTTGAAGTTAAAACTCGTCCATACAATCGATTTCTATATTGTTAACATTTTATCTAGCAATTATCATTTGTGTTTAAAAACGTGTGTGTACTATGTACACGCGTTAGAAGTTATACTTCTTTGGCGTAACAAGATAAAAATCTTTTCAAAAATTTTAATACACGTTTGTAGAAAAAACGACACTTACACTAGAAAAACCTAAGATGCTAACTATAGCTAACTTCAGTGTCGGTTTTTGTGACGCATCGTATAAATTTACTCTCATAATTTTTCCCTAACGCGACAAAAATTTAACTTCAAAGGTCTAGAATTAAAAGAACGTGAAACGATAAACGTATAGAAACTCATGTATATCAAGAGCACCATATCACTAATATGTTCAGGTCTTTTGTCCACAGAGCTACCGGGGACGCAAGCCCCTGGGCGGTACAGTCGTAGCACCAGTGGGACTCAGTCCGGGCCCCGCAGCACAGTCCCCGGGACCTGCTCCAGCCGCGCCAAGTCCCGCCCCAGCCACCACACCAGCTATGAAGCAGGAGCATCCGAGCCAGCCTATGGTAAGTCTTTTTAAACCCTACAATCAGAATAGTAAAGTTTTATATATAACTGAGGGCAAATGGGCAGGGCGCTCGCAAGTGCGTTGCCTTTTAAAAATCCTTCTTCTCCTAGTGCCATCTCCTTGCGAAGGTTGGTGATCATCATGGCTTTAATTTTGGATGCCTCGCTTCTAAACAATGACTTGGTGCTTTGACGAAACCATTGTCTTAGGTTTTTCAACCAAGACGTGGGTCTGCGGCCAAGTCTCCTTCTACCTGCCTGAGTGTACCTTTTAAAAATTGGTACGCTCTTTTCTTCAACGTTCCACATGGTAGTGGTTTGATGTAGGCTCTTAAAGTATAATCAAAATATTAATTGCTAGTCTTCGGTTTGCAAGTATATCGAGACACAATTTAATTTTAAGCAGTCATAAATAATTTATTAGAAAAGTATTAATAAATAAATAATATATGATACATAAAAAAAACAGTGGCGCTACAACCTCTTTCTGTCAGATTTCTGAATCTGTTTCATGATAATTTTTCAATCTAATAGGACTAGGTGATCAGCCTCCCGTGCCTGACACACGCCGTTGACTTTTTGGGTCTAAGACGGTTTCCTCACGATGTTTTCCTTCACCGTGCGAGCGAATGTTAAATGCGCACATAGAAAAAAAATTCCATTGGTGCACAGCCGGGGATCGAACTTACGACCTCTGGGATGAGAGTCGCTCGCTGAAGCCACTAGGCTAACACTGCTCAATATATGATACATACACAGCAAAAAATCAACGTTATATTGTCTTAACATAAGAAGGTTCTCGAAACAAAAATTCAATTAAAATAATAGCGTTGAAGCTCGGAGTATTTAATTTACCATTGCCTCGTTTAGTTAGTCAATCTAGATTAACAATTTCCTTCGTTTAAATAAGATTAATTTTTATTTTACATTTTATAAACGAATTGTCCTCGTGTTTTCGTAATTTAAAGGATATTCTGTACTGTGTTGTCTCGTAAATGTAATTTAAGTTGTTAATACCACTAAAATAGTTTCTATATAATGATCATAATGTGACTTTTTGTACATAATTAAATAGTTATTAACTATAACTAAAAGGTATTAGTAATACCTGCAGCTGAGTTTCATTATCGGCCGTCACGGCAGAATACAAAATACCACCCGTATCACCACGACGTTGCACAACTGAGCGTTTTTTAAGGTAGTTTTTGCTGCGCACCACCACACTATGGAACCAGCTGTGCTGAAGTATTTCAGAACCAATTCGACTTAGGGTCCTTCAAGAAAAGAGCGTACCAATTCTGAAAAGGCCGGCACTTGCGAGCCTTCTGGCAATGTGCCCATGGGCGGCGGTATCACTTAACATCAGATGAGCCTCCTGCCCGTTTGCCTCCTATTACACAAAAACATTTTTTTTGGTTTTGTTGTCTAATGCTAACACAACAAAGTAAAAAAATTGGCCCTAATTATGACTGCAAAAACGTATTCAATTTTGACTAACTTTCGTTATGTCTCTACTGACATTTCTTTTGTTTCGAAGCAAAGTTGCTGGACGCATAACTAACATATCACGACGCGTAGCGTGTAATAATAAAATACAATTTTCAAAAGGTGACAAAAAATATTCACTTTAAATTGGAAGCAATAAATTCGCCCCGAGCGTACAATATTGCTAAACTTTCCCGTTCTGCACAAATTAAAAATTTCTCAACTTAAACTAACGTTGTTAGTGACACATGTTGAAATTTATTCAATTTTTAAATGTTAGCGTTTACTTTGTATACCTGTATCTAAGTTGCTAAATCTTTAAAATTGTTTTTTATTTACGTGGAGCTTTGAAAATAAATATTTTCTTTTTCAATGTAAGACATATTTATTATGTACAGAAATAAATAGGGACTTAAAGAATATATCAATGAACACAAAAATGGATTCTGAACTCTTCATTGTTATAACATTATAACCAGCCGCGCTACAGCGTTTTAGGTCTGGGCCTCAGATTTCTGTATCTGATTGTGATCATATTTTTAGGCAAGAGGGTGATCACCCTCCCTAACACACGCTATCGGGTTATGATGTTTTCCTTCACAATACGATACAATAAATGTGTACATACATATTAACAGTATTGGTGCACAGCTGGAATTCGAACTTACTACCTCAGGAATGAAAGCCGCACTCTGAAGCCTCTAGGCCAAGACGACTTCTATTAACATATATCTAAAAGTATATGAAACTGAATAAAATGAACAGAAATGAAACCCATAATCTTGGGTTTGACTCCAGAAGAAACAATAAACACAGAGGGCAGCTATATGAAAGTCTTTGCACGGGATTTTAAACAGCATATTATTATTATTATTATAAAATAAAATAAATAAATGTTGTATTTCTACCTAACAATTCTTCTGTTTCTTAACTACTTTTAAAAGCTAGCTTAATGTATTAACGAATAATTTAGTTTATTCTCTCTAAGGTAATGTTATTTTTAATGAATATTACACTATAAACAACCTAAGAAGTATTTTTACTCTAATAGTAACAAGATATCGCGGCATCAGCGAACTCAAAGTAACTTATATGTAAAATTTAGCAATTTAAACTTTCATAATAAGATTACAAGTACAACATATTATACGAACATTTTTAATTAAACCATCTAAGAACTTGGTATTAAAAAGAACAACGCCGAAGTTATGCATAATTTGCCTGGAACATAATATTGGGACGTAAAATTGTGTAAGAAAGGGGAACAATTTTATTAATAAAATATATTTAAAAAAATAAAAGCAACACAAAAATCAAAATTCAAATATATTTGACAAATGATCGCATCACTAATAGATTAGTTTTAGCCTACTTGTAAAGACGTTGTACCCTGATGTCGTGAGTTCTCAGGCTGTAGTAATAGATTTAATTTTTGGGCATAACATATACTCGCCACATTGTTAGGAACCTCATATGTATTTACCTTATCATGTATTGATATTAAGTGGGCTTAAAAGTTCGTAAAATACAAAAAAAAATCGTGTGAATTTGATTTGATTATTCAATATCTCTTTGAGAGCGATACAACGATTATTGCGGTCGTACAATTTTCTAGTACGATTTGTCTTTCGCCTCAAAATTAACTCTTCATCAACGCAAAATTTCTCTCCAGTAACCATTCTCTTGAGGTATGAGAAGACGTCAAAAACACTGAAACAAATGCTGAATTTTTCGTAATTGTTTTTGTTTGTCGAACTTCTGATGCAATAGATTTATGAGAGAAATCTAAGCGAACGCAGACTACGCAAACTCAACCACAAAACTGTATGCAGTTATGTATTTATCTTTTTGATATTTCTTAATTACAAACTTTTCAACTCTGTGCGTGGTTTCAAAGGGTAAACTCATTTAAAGCAGCTGTTTTATGAAGTTAACTCGTTTTTATAAAGCGTCTAGTTGCTAAAGATGCTAACTGCGTTCAGCAGCTTGTAAGTTGGACTCTTTGAATTAATCAAGCGTTTTGGGATTGAATTCATGGAGATTATATTTGTGTAGTGTTTTATGAAATGGTTAATGATCCTGTCTAATGATTCGCAAGCATTTATTTATCACTAATTTTTAATTTAATTCAAAGTAAAAATATCCCATCGCACTAGTTTTATATAATACTAGTGGACCCCACAGACGTTGTCCTGCATGATATTTAAAGCGATTAGGATATTAAGCAAAGTATGAAAGTACCGACTGCAGTGCCATCTGCCGGGCTGATTTGTGAACACATAAAAAATTTCATCAAAATCGGTCCAGTCGTTTGAGAGAAGTTCAGTGACATACACACTCACAGAAGAATTATATATATAAAGATAACTATATACGAATCGTATACAATAATCTAATACAATATTATCATATAAAAAAATTAAAATAAATCAGTGGCGCTACAGCCTTTTTAGGTCTGAGCCTCAGGTTTCTGTATCTGTTTCATGATAATTTGTCAATCTAATAGGCAAGTAGTCGACTTTTTGTGTCTAAGGCAAGCCAGTTTCTTCCATGTTTTCTTTCGCCGTTCAAGCGAATGTTAAATGTGCACATAGAAAGAAGGTCTATTGGTGCTCAGCCGGGGATCGAACCTATGGCCTCAAGGATGACAGTCGCACGCTGAATCCATTAGGCCAACACCACTACCAATATTATTATATACAAGTAGCTTACAAACTGTTTCATTCGTTTTCTTTGTACTATAATCCTTGTATGCTTAATTAAAGAATAAAACTATGTTCCTTATATGAAACTCATAAGGCTCTTACGCAATATTTATCGTAGCCAAGGCTAGAGGGGCCTTCGACAATATCTAATTATGTTGTAACGCTATTCAAACCCTACGTATGACACAGTTTTTGTCATATTATTTGATTATATTAACTTTGCTTACAACGTGTAAAGGTTATTCCTATATTTTAATTTTAAGACTTTGGACTCGTTCATTACAGCATGGAGCAATAAGGGAGCGTTCAAGTATTACGTAACGAATTTTGGGGGGTCCTTTTGTAAATCGTTACGATGCGGGGCGGGGATTGAATTACGCGTTATTGTTAATATTATTTTCTACTTACACCACATAATAGTAACTAAAGAGTCACAAGGTGGTCACGAAACGTTTTACTAGACTTGGGAATAGTACTACACTTGGGTACTGAAAAACGTTACGGCGATACATGGGGGGGGGTCAATAATCTTCGCTCCCTAAGCTACCAATCATTATTTTGTGCTCAACGAAACACAAGTACAATAAGTCCTTATTTAGTCCATTTAACTAAACTAATACTTATCTAAAAACTTTGGCTCATACTCTGTAGTAAACAATGGTTGAACAACGACCTCGTTCGCGATGTTATGTGTGTCAAATATTAAAATAGCTATTCTATGTTTGTACTTGAGGAAAAATTGTCTAATGAACTTGACATAATTTTTAAACTAAGGGTCTGTTTCACAATGTACGGATAAGTTCTACATAAGTTCCAAATAAGCTATTTATTACTTATTGGTAGGATAAACACTATTGTTGCGTTTCACGACTGTCAGATAGCGCTATTCGTCACATAAAGTCCATCATAAGTTATGACTCCGATGAAGTGTCAAATAGTACTTCTATTTATCTTCCAAATAATTTATGTGTTGCATACTATTTGGTACTTTATCCATACATTGTGAAACAGACCTAGTATTCAACTTATATGAGACAAATATTCAATATTTACACAAAAAATTTAAATCATGACTTTATTGGCCTCCTGAGTTCTGTGACTAAATCTGATGTAGAATAATCACAGACACATCAATATTTATTGTATTATACATAAAAAAAATGTTATCTTTAATTCACTAATTGCCGTTTCTTTCGTATGCGAATATAAGCGATAATTCAACTATTAAATACTTATGTTAGAGTGATTGTAAATCGAATGATTATTTATAGCGAGCCGATGCTTAATTCAAAATCTTTTGTTTCCAGGCACCAATGCCATTCTACGCCGGTGACCCAAACAGGTTTCCCACAACATGGCAAACGGATCCCTCTCAAGGTAATTCAATAATAATCAACATCTTTTTTTGTTTAGCTTTTAAAATATGAATCATGTACTTGTTCAACTTGGCGAATATATGAAGAATTTTTATTTTTAGAAATAAATATTCCATAAAAGTTCGTGCCAATATGCTAACAACGTCCCGTACTTTTCCCCAACGCGTAATGAACGTTGACAGCCGGTTAGTCGAACCCGTCAACAGCGTAATTAAAACGGCCGTTTCATATAAGAATATATTCGTCATCATATATTCTTTAATACACTTTAAAATCAAACCGTTAATGTCGAAACATCTCCTGATAATAATTTAAAAATAGCACTTATACTTACTACTAAATTATTTCAGGTTGGCAGAACCAGTTCATCCAGCAATTACCAACGCAAACAGGCCAAACTACACTGGACTACCAGGGCAACCATACGCCCTACGCAACGTCGCCGCATTATCAGGCTAACACCACCTATACCGTCCAGAATGTTGCTACCACGTTCGACGTTTCGAGTAATACATACTACCAGACAGGAGTGCAAGCGTTGCCCACGCCTAGGCCGCCCTCAAATCGCGGCGCCTACACTCCCGTCCCGTCACCAAGAGCTCCTCATTATACATCTGAGTACCAACAGCAATACGCCCAGCAAGCCCCGACAACAGGTGTTACGACGGGAAACGAATCTAGGCCGGCGTCTGCTGCATCTTATCAAAGTGCAGTACCGACGACGGCCGCGCCCGTTTACACAGTCAGCCAACAAAACTACGAGCGGTCTGAATATTCGTCAGAGCACTCGGAAGATTATAACAATGGTGGCGATAACACAACAAACGACTCTAACAACGAGGGAGACAGACAAGAGCAAAGTTCCCAGAATGGACAGCATTCGGGAAACGCCGAGCCTGGATACCTGCAGGGGAGCAACGGTCCGCGAGCTTCACTCGATTGTAGCGGGTATTCGGGCGGCTACACTAGCGGGCAGCATAATGAAAATAGTCAGACACAAAATCAAAATGATTGGCAACAACAACAACGCCAATGGCACAACCAAAGGTTACAGAATCAGCAACAAATCAGCCAAATCCAAAGCCAACAGCAACAACTACAAAATCAAATCAACTATCAAAATCAACAGATACAAAACCAACAAATGCAAAATCAACAATTACAAAATCAACAGATTCAAAATCAGCAAATTCAAAACCAGCAAATGCAGAATCAGCAAATGCAAAATCAGCAACTGCAAAATCAGCAAATGCAAAGTCAGCAAATGCAGCAACAGAGGCAAGAAGAAGCTGAGCAGCAGATGTTTTCGCAATCAGACAGGGTTAATTTAAACTCGAGACTGAAAACTATGATATTAAATAAGCAAAATCATACGCGAGACGGGACGAATACGCCACCCGATAAAGGGGACCCCGGAGAGGGGCCGCCTCGAGGAATAGACGATAGAAAGGGCTGCGTATCTATCGCGGATGATAGAAATACTACCGGTCATTTTTTATCGTATAGCCACCATCTCCGAGGTAATTACCACATAGGCGACCAGGTTTATCCTGTCGCTGGTAATTATTCACAAAACACCCACAGTTATAGAACGGGTGAATTCGGAGGTGGTGGCCACCACGTATGGGAGGGGGGGGACGCAAGTCCCGAGAGATTATAATAAGCACAATTCGTCAGAAAACACACTCAAAGCTCCTCAAAAGTTGCCGTCGTATTCTGACATGAGAAGCCAATTTAATAGTTATACGAATGTACATTATGATGCGCAAAAATACACAGAAATGTATGATAGTGATAACGTTAGTTTTAGTCAGCAGCAGGATAATAAAGACTTTCAATCGAAAATGCTCATAGGACCAGTGTCGGTGATGAACCAGCAAAATTGCGCTCCAACGCAAGACGCAAACGCACAAAAGAAAGCTTTCGATAGGGAGGCATATGATGCGAAATTTAAACATCCATCCGCACCGTTAATACCTAAATTAGAAACACCCGATACCTATCAGTATCAAAAAGAAGAAAGAGTGAAGGTGGAGCCTCAGAGGAATATTGCTCCTCAAATGAAGAATGTGATTCCTCATCACAATAAGTTAGATCCTCAACGAGATTATCAAAATGGTATGATACAAAAGCAAAACGTCCTGCCTCCTATCTCTACAATCAAGCATGAGACGTTCGTTCAAAAACCACAAAACTATCAACAATTCCAAAATTATCCCAACGATAGAAGGCAGGAGACAATTGAGAAATATGCACAAATCCCACGTCCACATGAAAACAGTGGTTTTCAGCGATACCACAGAGGTCTAGAAAATAAAGTCACCAAAGATGATAGAAGAAATCTTGGCATATGTGAAGAAACAAAACCACCATTTTACATAGAACAAATTAAATCTGAACATTCTCCACCGGGACACAAAATATATAAAAATATTAACTTTGGCCCACCGCGGAGTGAACCGTACATGTTCGCTGGGGATGGTGGACCAGTTGCAATCAGAAGTGAAGTGGGATACTCGTGCTGTAGACAAGGATCGACAAAGAAACCACCACCGGAGCACCTCAGAGATGGTGCATGCCCGGGACTCCAAACCAAGGATGAAGTTTTAGAAGGAGAGCCAGATGCTGCGGAAAAGACAGACCCAAAAACTCCATCGAAGCCTAGCACGCCAACACCAGACCTGTACTCTAAAAATCCGAAAGAAAATCAGTTTAATTACTCAAAAGAATATCTTGAGAATTTAGAAAGATTACGAAATAACTCAAGAACAGAGGTTCCAGATTGTAATTGCTTTCCAGCTGATAAAAATCCGCCGGAACCTGGAAGTTACTACACTCATTTAGGTAAGTATTTTATCGTCATTTCAATAGAAATAAAATAAAAATGGTTTAAATGAAAAAAAATTAACATTGAAAAATATCCATTTGTTAATTTGTTTAAAAATATTCTATTGCATCCATGGCAGTAACGGTATTCCACAAAAGTGAAACAGACTTGAAATGTGTCTGTACTATTTGGATTTTACTAAAAAATACTGATTTTATAGGAGCAGCAACTTCGCTAGCAGAATTAAGGAAAGATCTTGAAGCCAGAACTGGATTGTCAGGAAAGGAGTTGAGAATAGAAAAGATATGCTATACGGGAAAAGAGGGCAAAACTGGACAGGGCTGTCCCATGGCCAAGTGGGTGAGTGTGTATGGATCCTCATTTTATACTTATTAATAATATTAAATTAACAGGATTTAAACTGGACAATAAATTCGAATGTGTTAATGTGAAAATTTAAAATAAATCAGTGGTGCTACAACCTTTTTAGGTCTGGGCATCAGATTTCTGTTTCATGATCATTTGTTAATCTAATAGGCAAGTAGGTGATCAGCCTATTGTGACTGACACACGTGACTTAGGTCTAAGGTATGCCAGTTTCCTCAAGATGTTTCCCTTCTCCGTACGAGCAATGTTATATGCGCACGTAGACAGAAAGTCCATTCGTGTACAGCTGGGGATCGAACCTACGACCTCAGTGATGAGAGTCGCACGCTGAAGCCACCAGGCCAACACTGCTCTAATGTGACAATTTAATACGTTTTAATACGGTAAACAGATAATAAGGTGGTTTAACTTTTGTTAAGTGTGTGATTTTTATTGAGTTTTTCCTTTCGAAAATGTTTGAACCTTTTTGTAAATATTATGTATTCCATCTTTGGCTATATGTTTAGTATAATGTTTCGTTATATCGCTAACTTAAACTTTATTTCTCAGGTAATAAGACGCGCTAATTATACCGAAAAAGTGCTTGTAGTGGTGAAATTCCGAAATGGCCATAAATGTCCAACAGCCTGGATAGTTGTATGTCTGGTCGCATGGGAGGGGATTCCCCAGTCAGAAGCTGATTTAAATTACACTCTATTATCCCATAAGCTCAATAGATATGGTCTGCCAACAACACGGCGTTGTGCTACCAATGAAAATAGGACTTGTGCCTGTCAAGGTAAGCTTTTAAATAAAAAGGGGCAAAAGAGCCCGGGGCTCAATTATAAAAGGGCAACTAATTTTTACAGTACATTATAAGGCCTGACCTTCGTTGTCAAATTTGGGTTTAAGGCCTGCCTTTAATATTTTTCTTTTCATACGAACATTAGTTGATTGCCAAAATATAAATAAAATAAAACGTGTTTGTACTTATGTACACGTGTTAGCAGTTATACTTTTTTTTATTATATAAAAAAAAACTTTGTAATTATGTACATGTGTTAGAAATTATACTTGCGTTATAGTTTAATGCGCCAAAAGAAGTATAACTTCAAAAAAACTAAAATGTTGACTATAGCTAACTTCAGGGTATCGGTTTTTTGTAACTGTGAGTTCCCATTCGGTTCGTTTCAATTATGTAATGCGTGTGTGCTGTGGCTGTTATTGGCCCTGGATCAGCATTATGCTGAGGAGCAGAATGTTCTACAGCGCTGGTCATTCTGCCAGAGACCACAGCAGCTAGTTTGTGCCTCAGTCGCAAAAAGAGAAAGAAAAGGAATGTAATAAATACTTGAAGAAAAATAAAGTAATAATAAAAGTTACCAGTGTACGTAATGAAGTCTTGTGTATAGTAAATATAATAATAATAATGTAGCCTTTATATTCCGAAACTCAGTGATCTGTGATCTTTAATATATATTTTTTTACTATATACATAATATAATTCACATATTAAAACGTCTATTGCAGGCTTAGATCCTGAAGCGTGCGGCGCCTCCTACAGTTTCGGCTGCTCCTGGTCCATGTACTACAATGGATGCAAATACGCCCGTTCGAAAACTGTCCGAAAGTTCAGACTCTCGGTCAAAACTGAGGAGAGCGAGATTGAGGAACGTATGCACGTTTTGGCCACACTTTTGAGTCCGCTTTACATGAATTTAGCGCCCAAGTCCTTTGAAAACCAATGCCAGTTTGAGAAGGAGGCTTCTGACTGTCGGTTAGGGTTTAAGCCTGGACGACCCTTTTCCGGTAAGACTTTTTAATTATACACTCGAAATTAAACATTTTAACAGTTAATTAGTTAAGTAATCTAAACTATTTAAAACGTTATATAACAAAGTTAAAAATAGATTTAAAAAAAGGGTGCGTACTTATGTACGCGCGTAAGAAGTTATACTTCTTTGGCATTATTAAAAATAGTTTTTGATTGCATGCAAATAATTAATTACAATTAAATAATCAAAGACTAGAAAAGGAGTCATTATAGTCAATAAAGTTCAGTTTACATTTGAAAAATTAAATAAATAAATATTTATTATTATTCTCTTACATTAAGTGTAACATAAATTCTATTATTATTCGAATGTTGTTTTTAAATTATGTCCAATGCCGTGCATCTTCCGTGGGCAACTTCATTCTGTTAATTTTGTGTCACGGTGCGCGCGCATCGTAAAATTTCACTCTTATCAATTTTTCATAACGCGCCTAAAGAAGTATAACTTCAAAAATACTAACTAATTATTCTGTAAAATCAAAAGAGTACTTTTTAATTTTGGTAAATAGCAGTTATATATTTTATATCCAACACACAAATATACAGTATTTACAATTTTCTTAACCTACATACCAATATTAAGCAGCACAATTTCCCGATTACAGGTGTCACAGCGTGTATCGACTTCTGTGCGCACGCGCATCGCGATTTACACAACATGAATAACGGTTGTACGGCTGTCGTTACACTCGCCAGACATCGCGCACTAACTCCACCAAATGATGAGCAGTTACACGTCTTGCCCTTGTATGTCCTTGATTCAACTGATGAGTTTGGCTCCAAGGAAGGCCAAGACGAAAAAATCAAAAACGGAGCTCTTCAAGTCCTTGATAAGTGAGTGGTGATGTATAACCATTTATTATATTGAATCCTTTCTAAACCCAAAAGTAATTAAACGTTTCAGAGAAAAATATATAAAATAAAGTTGTTAATACATGTAGAATTGTTTTAATTATATGAAATTGTATATTAATCGATAATTTATATGTTTCAGATATCAAATGGAAGTTCGTGTTCGATCCGTTCCTCTTCAGCCGTGTAGACGTCACGGGAAGAAACGTAAGGACGAAGACAATTCAGATTCAAACTCCTCAGCTAACACTCCACAAGCAAGTCCCGGGAATCAGAAGAAATGCCCCACACCTGGACCCAAAACTCCCCAACCCAATGATACCAGAAACATCGCTAGTCCAAGAAGTCAGAACGCTTCGCCCCGAGCTAACACTCCAGCGGTAAACCAAACTTCAGCTTTTCAACCAAATCCAAATAATTATAATTCTGCCTTTGTTAATCCAAATATGCATAACTCTAACCCTAATCTTATCAATGCTAGTATGAGTAACCCGGCCTTATTGGATATGGCTTCGATGATTGATAACTTTACAGACGCACAATTACAAAGCAATCAAATTTCTAGTACCGTCTTAGATTCACCATACAATTCGTACGACCAGAGCTACAATATCCATAATCAAAATAATATGTATAATCCAAATCCATCGCCAATAGTCGATGCTACTTGTCAAAATCACAATCAAAATCAAAATCAGCTACCGAGTTTTGCATCGGGATTGCAGAAACGTGACCAATTCAATCCCACAAATGTAACAGACATGAGTGTTCAAAACCAGTGGCCGGATTTCAATAATCCGGAAATGTTTAGTAATGCTGTCAAAGAAGATCCAGATTCCACAACTGCTCATTTAAATATGACTCCCACTAATTATAGCCCAGATTCTAATAGAAGTGACCCAAATAATGACCAAATTAAAAATACACCAGAGCCCGATAAACCTAACTTAATCCGCGATATGTCACAAAAAATGCCAGATTTTGATATACCCAGATCTCCCAGAGTCACAGATATATCCCAGCCTCAAAACACACCAGAATCACCAGTCCCAACACAAATTGATATGAAATCGCCCAATAATGAATCACCAAATTGTGACGCTCGCAAGGGTGTGTGGAGATCTCCAGAGCACAGAAACTGGGATCCAATGAAACCAAAAGATGGTGTAGATGAAAATGCTGTATTCAGAGTTCCCAAATCGCGACCTCCTTCGAGATCCCAGGTCAATCTTCCAGAAAATATTGAACAGTCTACGTTCTTAAAACCTTACCCGCCTTCTGGGAGACCTCAACTGACTCACGGCTATGACCACCGAAGCCCTTACGACAGCCGGACAAACAATCCCCAAACACCAACCACCCAGGGCAATTTTACCATAAGTCACGAAGATCCCAATCAAAACTCGGCTGCACCAAACAAGCAAGAACAAGTTCCTAGTAACTATCCAGCCAACCAAAATACATATGGCAATCAATCTCCAGTCCAAAATTACAATAACTATCCCACCGTAGGAAATGCGTACGCATTTTCATCAAACCCATACGGCCATTTTAGCCCTTATGAAAACACATATAACGACTATAATAGCATAGCATATTATAACGCAGAGAAGTATAAAAGAGAAGAGTTAATTAGGAACTCGCATTGTTACAATTCCTATGGATATCAGTATAATCCAAACTTTCCTCCTAACTTTTACCAAAATCCCAATCCCAATTGGTGTCAGTCTTCTCCCAATTGGTGTGTGTATCCGCCGCCATTCTCTTTACCTTATCCTCCTGAACCTCCTAAAGCAGAACCTATTGGAGAGGTGACCGGAGTGTCTGATAATCTTGAATGTTTCAAAGATAGTCAAATGGGGGGTGTTGCTATAGCATTAGGTCATGGAAGTGTGCTCTTCGAATGCGCTAAACATGAAATGCATTCCACTACTGCAGTAAAAAATCCAAACAGAGCAAATCCCACGCGAATATCTTTGGTCTTTTATCAACACCGAAACTTGAATCGACCCAAGCACGGTCTAGAAGAATGGGAGGAGAAAATGAGATTAAAGAAATTAGGTTTGAATCCACCGACTCCTGGCACTCCCGCTCCAAATTCTAACACTGTCTCCCGGGCAAGTACCCCAGGGCCTGAGAAACAGACTCCTGAGAAATGGAAAAATAATGAGAACTATATACCAGGAGGGTATAGTTCCCTGTCTGCCTTAGTGGAGGCGACAAATGTGGCTAAAAGGAAAGGCCAAATTATGTTGAGGGCTGACACACAAACCACAATGTCTTGGACCACTCTATTCCCGATGCACCCCTGTACTGTGACAGGTCCATACCAAGAATCTGGCACCTGACGCAAGCCCGGCCCTTTGGGGCAATGTTCTTCCAAACGTCGGAGTGAAATCCCTTCCTTAGCTATGTAAGGTGCCTTCAATCAGGCCTCCTAGAGCCAAAGTGCTTTCCAGTCGTTTTGTAGTTCCTCATTTTATAGGATTAAAAATTCTCGATTTTTCGACAGACTGGTCCATTCGAGATTCCTCTTCTGCATTTACATCGGAATTGACTACCATTTTGACGTATTTTTTTGAAATCAAGTGAGCTATCAATCAAAGATATATTTTAGATTTTAATTGTGTTTATCGCATTTCAACTAGTCTTACTTTACTGTTAGAGTCGGATCCTATTGTTTAAGTCTGTAATTGTAGTTTTTTTGTATATTCTTGTCGTGTTTAGTTTAACCGTTGTCACAAATTATGAAATTAGTTTAATGCTCTGTATAAAATGTGGTAAAATAGATTTGTCTGCATATTATGTCGGTTTTATTTAGGCGCATTACGTGCGATGCAATGATCTCATACAATTAATTCAGAGCGAAAGTACAAACGTGCGATGAGCCGAGCGAGGAGCTTCTGACGGTTCGTGTTTATTTCTATTTTTGTACCTTTGTCTATGGTTAGTTACTTTTTTAATTTCTACCATTCCCTGCCGGCGACGGCTGTTTGCGTTATTTTAGTGATTTTATTAGAATCGAGTATGTATCACAGTTGAGTGCTTTTCTATTAGGTTAAGTCGTGTGTATTTTTAAAAGTTTTAGAATATTTAACTTATTTGTATTGTATTACGTGAACCATTATGAAATGATTTTCTTTGTAATAATTTAGTGTTACTGTAGGTACTATTTAATATATTTGCTTTTACATTAGCGGTTGTTTTTGCATTTCATGCCTTCTTTACTTTCGACTCTAGTGCCTGTCTGGCTTCAACCAGAAACGTTCTATCGTGTTTAGAATTAAAAAATCATTTTTGAACTTTTAAAATGTGACCTTATTAAATGGATTACATTGAATGAACTTTTCTAATTAGCGATGATGAAATTTTATGAATTAGTCGTACAATAAAGATGTGTAAGAGACATAAGTTTATATAATAGTGTTTGCGAAAAAATTCAGGCGCTTGGAAAGTTTATAAAGTAGGCATTATATTGAAAATGAAACAAACTGATGAATTAATATATAATTAGGTTAAGGAAAGTTTGTTTTAAAGATTAAACTATTGATATAGTTTATATTTTTTACGTGTACGTATTTATTGAATGGTAAATTTATTGGGACGAACGTGAAATTATTTATAGGTTAAAAGTTTTGTGAGCAAAACTTAAAAACTAAGCAATAATAGACGTCGGGGTCTATGTACATTGTAATGTAGGAGTGAAAAATAATATTAAAAAAACCAATGGTGCGATATGTGTCGTCGATCTTATGGATGTGCTTGTTTCAATGTATTGCCTAAATTCTGATATTATTTGTGTTTTCATGCCGGATTCTTGCCGCGACGAAGCGTCGTAATGCCACAAGCCTATCTAACGGACCAGATAGGTTAGCGGCACTAAAGACATATCAAAGCAATCAACGTCATCACAAACAAAACATCCACGCTCATGTACCATTTATAGTCTTTAGTAACAAAATCCAATGTAAGACTGCATTCATTATTCTAGAATATGTCGATATTCCTTTGATCCAAATTTGAGTTAAGCTGTTTCTGTATAAAACTTCTAAAACAAGCAAAAGCTTAGAAAATATATCAAGATCCAGAGATATTTTTTTCATCTGTCAATTGTCAGGTAAAAAAATGTCACCATTATTGAGTCCACTAAATACTTTTTATGTTATAATTATCTCTGAATGAACCTTTATTAAATGAATGCAGTCGTTTAAAGGTTGTAATATTAGAATATCTTGGTGAATGTTAAGGAATCATTAGGTTTAGACACCTGTGATATACATTTAAATCACGTGCGTTTGAATGCTTGTATGTCCCCAGTGTGTGTTCGACGACATGACCTTTTTATCCAAAGGAATTGTATGCAGAGGTGATTTTTAAACGATTATTTATTGATTGCATGTTGTGATTATATAATCTGTGCTTTTATGAATTGACAATTTGTGTAATATGTCAAATTATGCAATCTAATGTTCGAAATTTAAATTTTTGTAGATCTTCTTCAAAGATGAATTTGTTATTCGAAATTCAAATTTCGATTTTTTAGATTGTCAAATTTAGTATTATCTATTATTAGTGGTAATTTAAATTGAGCACTTTTTAATTATGACAAAAAACTAATTTCTTTCTACCGTTGACATTTTAATCTTACAGTACATCTTGTTTAATCACCTCTGTAAGTTGTATCGTCGAAGTATTTCCGCAACCAAAAATCGATCAGTATTTTTATTAACTCTCCTTTCGGTGCGGTTTTACCAATTTTTGTTTCGTTGCTCGTTGCGTTTAAGTTACGACACCTGTGTAATATTTTATCTTCTGCCAAAACAAAAGAATGTGTCATGTAAATAGAACTACCATTATTTATTAATACAATAATTTAAAAGACCCTTGTTCGTTTTATTTAATCCTTTACGTATAAGAGACAATGCAGTGTCCACGCCAAGTCAAGCAAAAATGGCTTCCACTTCCAGCAATCCTTTTCTCGAAACAGTTCAGTCCAGTCGAGAATACAATGTATCTTACAAGTAATACTAATTACATTAAATTTGATTGTTTAGTGCGATTTAAGTCAATCGATTTATTCATCGCAAGAGACGATGACAAGCGGCTGAATGGGATGTCATTGATTCATGCTACTTGTGTGACGTTTGCCTCGTCTCTCCTCCGCTCAAGCAAAAAAGCTGGGACGGCCGCTGTGCAGGCGGATAATAATAAACGGCTCAAATATAAGAGTCTTTCCTCCAACTTAAATTTTATTCCCTTAGAAGTAGATTCTTGAGCCGTACGGTTCAAGTGCACAGGCGCTAATTAATGAAATCATTACTATCGGTACGGTACTATCTATCACCTGGTAGATAGTACCGGTGACCCCTGAGCTGGTGGTAAAGGTGGTTCCTCGCTCAACGAATAAGTATCGCGATACAGCGAGGAAATGCTGCTAGCGTTAAACACTGGCATGTAGGTTAAGAAAATTTTAAATACTGTTTATTTTATTTAAAACATAACATTGATATGGTTAAGATGTTTAGGTTAGCTAATTACGTAATAACTTAAGACATAAAGTAGGGACTGAATTAACTGACTACGTATCACATGGATCTCACAACTTTTTACGGTAGAATGGTTGTGAGATCTTTTTTTGACCTGACAACGTCTTATAATTCGATGGAGCCGGCTGCACGCACGAAAAAACATGACTCATGCGGCGTTACCTCGCTCTGAGGCGTTCCATTTAAGGCTTGAAGTGCAAGCGAGAGCGCGAAGCGACAGAGAGGCACAATCGGACTCCACGTTTGCCAGCGTTCGTTTGTTAAAAAATTGACATAATTGTATTTATGCGTACAAATAAATGTAACTTGATCAATTCAATTGTGATTTCCATTGACCTCCTTCTCTATATCCATACAAAATATCTATCAAACAAATAAAATTATGATTTTCTTTTGAAAAAATGCAACCATTCCATCAGTATTTTCTTATGACGTTGTCACGTTCTACTTCAGTAAACCGAATTTACAGACAACCGATTTTTGTAAGTGTTTGATGGCGTTCAATTTTATGATAGACTAACCAGTGTTACTAAAATTTTGATTAAACATTTTTCGGGTTTAATTAAAGGCGTGATAAACATTAAAACAAAGTCAACTTCATTAATTTTTTTAATAGAATCGGAGCAAAAAACTCAGAATAAAAAATTTATCAACAAAATGGACGGTCGTAAATACTATGAAAGAGTAAGGTAACAATTCAAATATAATAATTGTTATTGGTAACTTAATTTGTATAAAAATATATTCTTAGCCTAAACTTATCATTATTTGTAAAGCATCTCACCATCACCATACTTATTAAAAATACACAAAAAATATAATAATATTATATACAGTATTGTTTTATGGATGTCGGTCAGATCGCGAATGCGTTGCCAGCTTTTTAAATGTATGGTGAGTACACACACTCTAAATATACACATGGTACAACTTTATACTTTACTTTTTTATTCATCAGAGTATATTATTCAAATAGGTACATAAATTCAACGCAAACAAATTAAAATGAGGGTAGTCAGGGATGCATAGCAACAATTATGTTGGTGAGTGCCGTCCGCGCGTCACAATTTGGAAAGCTGTCGAGGACGTCGCACGCGCGTGAAATGTGCTCCCGTTGTAATGCTTTGGTCTGTTCTATACCATTGCCCGCTACTACTGCTTCGTATAGCTGTAACCAATATTTTTTTTTTAGGTAAATCAGAGTAAGAAAAAAAATCTATAACTTTTATGTCTTTTCCAATGAACATGTATGATTTTTATTGATTCTTAAATCAAATACATCTATTTGGGACGCCACAAACCAAAATAAATAAATCTTTATTCATTATATAAATCTGGTTGTGACAAAATTGGTATCTAAGCTAGTCCACTAGTACTAGGGAGACCCTATGTTGTGAGTTTTGGAACCTCAGAGTCATGCCAATATGTAGGTAATAAGTATATGTGTGTAAATTATGTTTATATATATGTAATATATAAACGATTATAACAGCTTAATACACAATAAGGAAACATAGAAAAGGTACACGTTCTCGGGGAAAGTATGCAGTCTTCTTGAATACGTAAATCTTTTAAATATTTTTTTATTAATATACTCACAGCATGATAGTCGACGTCCTGTACACTTTTGCGACCAGCCTCGATATAAGAGTAGAGTTCAGGCCTCGCTTCTAATGTGAAGGCGAGTGGAGCTCCCACGAGAGAGAAGCTGGTTGGTTCTGGGCCTGTGAACGCTTCCAGATCCAGGAATGCCTGCCACGCTAGTGCTAGGTGGCAACCGAATAGATATCCCTAAAATCGTGGTAATATTTACTTATAAGGTAATGCAAGGAGATATAGGTACGAATTCACGACATGTTTAACGGAACGTAACGGAAACGTTTTTAACGGAAAATTTCAACTTTTCGATTCAGTTGAAATTTTCCGTTAAATATGATTCAAAACTGATTTACTGAATTAGTGTGACTGCACGTTAGTAAGTGCTGAACAGGTGGAAAAAAATAGTACACAAGAACAGAGTGTCTTCTAGACTGTAACTTGTAAGTAGTGTTATTGGACACTTTCTTGTGATAAATAACCTTATTAGTAAAGTAGGTTAGTTTTAAATTACTAATTAGTCTTAAATTAGACTAGATCGTAATATGTCAATGTAAATGTCTTTGTGCAGATACAATTTATTAATAATATGATTCCTGTTGGTCTTATAAGATTTGTATTTTTTGTATGAATGTTTTTGTGTAACGAAGTGCAAAATAAATAAATAAAATAATTTGAAACACAGACGTCTACGTAATAGTGCGTAGTTGTTCCTATGAATCCTTCATTTTTATAATATTTCTCAACCACATAGATATAGGTACTATATGTGCTTGGGACAATTTGTTTTATATTTTACTACATCAAAAATTGCGTGTTTAGTAACAGTACCTTCATTTCATATTACAACACAATTCTCACAGATCGACGAATGTTTTAAAGTAGTTTTACATACCTTGCTCTGCAACGCTGGATCATGCCCCGCCAGCTTAAGTGCAGCTGAGCAGCTCTTTCCTAGCAAAGCTCCAGCTGCGAGAACGTGTCTCGCTACCCATTCACGGCGACCGCAACCTGCCACGCCCGTCATTGGTAGCGGCGAGGTAAGGCACTCCCAGTCTTGAAGAGAAACGTAAATTGTAGGAAAGTTCAATCAAGAAAAGCTGGTTAGAATAGCGTCCGACGTTTCATTGAAACCTACGTCATTGAGACGTATTTTCGATATTCTCATACAAGTAAAGGTTATTGTATGTTCTTGTCTTTTGTTTATGCATGAAATCTGAAAAGAATTCTCCAAGGGAGCTGGCGAGCGAAATATCTATATGTTTTGCTCATGTGACAGACTTTTTTAATAGATAATTATACGATAAAGAATATTAAATATATGTCGCAGCATCTAGAGTAATAAGCCGTTCAATAAACAGCGCCATTTAACTAGTGACCTGAAAGATATTCAGTCAGTATCAGATAGATCAGTCACTATTAATTTAAATTTAGTTCCACTTTCTGCCACTCTCAAACTCGAAACGAAACTCTTCAAAATGTCAATATGGTGTCAGAAAACCACAACTTTCATGGTGTTTTCCAAATTTTAATGAAAAACAATAAGTTTTTGGTAGAGTGTAGTGACAATAATAATGTTAATTTAGCTGTGACTGACTCAAGCAATTTAATTGTTAAAGAAATATTTTTTATGTCAGATGTTTCACTTTATTTCTGCCACATAGTCTATCGTACGAATGGCCTAAGCCAGTTTATTAACTGTTACTAACGCTAAGGCTGAATATCTTTCAGGCCGCTAGTTAAACGGAGCTGTTTAGCAAAGAGGCTAGACTGTTAATTAAACAGCCTTTTAAGCTAGTTGGCTAGTTATTAAACTAGAATATATACCTATATGAAAAGACATCTTGTAAGTAGACATTGAGCAATGCCTCTCAAACCGGAATCTTTAAAATGTATATAATACTGCCGTGTCAATATTTACATACAAATCGCCACGAATTCACTTCAGTTTGTATAACGTTTGAATAAGTATGTGAATCTACTTATTTGGGCGGAGATATTGAGGGCAATGGAACACTGAGACCCGTTGCTTTAACCGGTTCTTATATACTTGCGAATCCTTTCCCATGAAAGACGTTCAATATTTGTTGTGTTTTCCAATATAACGCCTACACTGGAGGTTTCAAAAAAGGAATCTTGTCAATCAAATTGGAGGTTTATAAAATGTATTCTTTAAAAAAAATCAATCGCTTTGTGACGTACAATTTTAAGAAGAAATAATAGAAATATTATTGTCAAGTCCATACGCAAGATTGGTTGGAGACCCACAAATTTTGGAGTTTTAAACACGATTTTAGACAATTTAAATGTAGGCAATTAACATAAATAACACAAGAAATATAAACCTCTTAAATCTAACACGTCATTGCTAAGTGAAAATTGTATATTTCAGCGTAAACTTCAAATAACTTCGCTCGCTTTGACGTCCAAACTTCTTACGAAATTACTTGACTTCAGTTACTTGCCTTGTTTTCCATAACGTTTCTTCACAAAAACAATAACTGTTTTATGCTGCTAGAAATTACAAATAATTAATTACTGCACCATTATAAAGAATGTACTTTGTCTTATCATTGCTAATATTTTTAGGTATATTTGAATACTACATAAAATAATCAGTTGTGTGTGTTAAAAGTATTATGTTAAATAAGGTATTAAGTGAGAGATAATACAACCGACTTTTTTTTAAATATTTCTCTGCCAGAATGACCAGCGCTGTGGAACCCGTCTGCTCCACAGCATAATGCTGAGCCACTTACAAAAAAAAACACACACTTAATATATACCTTATTCCTTAAAAAAAATTTATTTTTCTTTTTTGATCATTAATATTATTATTTTGTGTGTTTCGTAAGTAATAAATTTTATGTTTAATGTTTAAAAGACGTCGTAACATATTTAAAAGAAGACCCTTACTTGGAATGGCCCAGTGGGAATGAAAGAGAGGACGCCCATAGGAAACTTGGGGAAGATGGAATAAAAGGGATAGCGGGGCAGAATTACAAAAATGTCGCGAGGAGTAGGGACAAGTAGAAGAATTTGGAGGACGCCTTTTTTGAAGTGAAACTTCTTTAGACGCATGAGGGTAAAATTTTTACGGAACGTCACGAAGATGTGCAGCGTTTTTGTCGAAAGGGATACAGCGATTGAGAGTGAGTGAGAAGGGCGAATTACCTAATAGAAATTATATTTTATGCAAAATAATTTATTGAAATCTTAAATGACGAATAGTAAATTAAAATGCCACGTGTTTTTATGATCGAAGAAATAAATTAATATTTTAATGACAATTAAATTCATTAAATGCCTAACAAATCTTCCTTTTTCCCTTCCTTTAAGTCTCGGAAATCTAAAGTTCTAGATTTGTATAAATATGAACAAGACTTAAAAATTAGTTTGCCAAAGAAGTTTCACTTCTGACATGTGTACTTTGTACGCACGCACCTTTTTTTTGTTTAAGGTATAAAGTAAAAATGTATATGTGAAATTAATCTGTAATTACATAGTCGCGTCTTCTTATAAAAAGGAACGATTTCTATTCATATACTATTACTAAACCGATTTCAAATATTCTCTCAGCATTCGAATGGTATTATCACGCAGTATATCGGCTATATTTAATTCCAAAACGTTTAAAAAATATATCTACTAAACCGAGACTGGCTAGTTTTAGTTGTTTCAAAATATTGCTTTGTCCATAAAATATGAATTTGACTTTTTATTTAAGAATGAAATTTTATGTATAACCAATGGATTAATACACAAAGAAAACACTAATACATATGGTTTTTATTGATCAATACATAGATTATATCAGGAAGTCGTGTTTTAACCTATAATCAAAAATACTGGATTATAAAAATTGTCTCAACATTATAATTCTATTATCATTCTAAAAATAGGCTTTATTTATTTCTAATATATACAAACAAATATATATATACATATAAGCGACAGGCCGCTAGTTTTAGTTCACCTTTACACAAAACATTGCTTTGTCCATAAAGGATAAACAAAATCGTATTTGCGCACGGGCATACCAAAATCACATTACGCATGCGTGTCACACCCCATCATGCATTCAGGGCGTGCGCATTCCTTACGTAGAATGAACAATTATTTAAATAGAGAAATCGAATTACGGCCGCCTGTACGGTTGTTGCCTACAAGGACGTATAAGAATAATGTATTTTGTTTTACTAAGAAAATTTCACTGATTTTAATATAAAATTCTGTTTGGATTCTAACTACTATATTTAGCACAAAACGTAGTTTTATTTCCCTTCGTTCTGAGACCTAGACCACTATTAGTATTACTGTAGTTTCGAATAAGAATAGCGATTTTATTACTTGGTGTACGAGTATTTTAAAACAGTTTTTATTATCTAAGTATTAGATTGGTGCTTGATTGATTTGTGTAAAGTAAAACTTTTTTTTTATTTACATCAGGGGGTAAACGGGCACGAGGCATACTGATGTTAAGTGATATGGACACTTTCAATGCCAGAGGGCTCGCGAGTGCGTTGCCGGCCTTTTAAGAATCTGTACACTCTTTGCTTGAAGGACCCTAAGTCGAATTGGTTCAGAAATACTTCAGTGGGAGTTGGTTCCACATATGGAACAAACATTTGGCGCCGGCAAAAAATTACCTTAAAGCCCATCCACACGCTTGACAAACAATGGCAAACAGCTAACAGCAAACAGCAAACACGGACGTGTGGATGGGTGTTTGTCGTTGTTTGCCGTTTGTGTTCGTGTTGGGCAGTGTTCGGCATCGGTGTCGGTTTATCTTGCCAGATCAAAGGAGTTTGGCACGTTTGCACGCCACACGTTGGAGCGTCAGATGCCGCGAGCTTGCGGGAGGCGGACGTATTTATTGTCACTTTCTTGGCGCGCAAAGCGTAAAAAATGTCTGATTGAGCACCTACGATTGACATTTTTAAGTAACTTTTAAGTAAAATTAAAAAAAACGGCAAAGTAAAGCTCAAATAAAGGTAAAAGCTGTACGCTTTCAGTATTTTAATCATCCACCATCGTCTTTGCTTTCTTCTTTTTTCCTTTTTTCTTTGTTTAATTATAAAAAAATATGCAACCCAAAGTAAAGAAATGCCCATCCGATTCGAATGTTAGAAGCGATGTGGTGGGGGGGGGGGGGGGAGTGGGGTGGAGGGATGATTAAAAACTCAGTTGTGGAACGACGGGCGTCGAGGTGATACGGGTGGAATTTCGTATTCTGCCTCGACGTCCGATGATGAAACTCAGCTGCAGATATTAATCCGAACAACTCCTCTGAACACTCTCCATGGTAAGGTCAATTGAGACCCAATCAAAACTAAAGTACTCTTTCGTGTTATATTTATTTTTTCACACTTATTGCACAAGAATTAAATAATTATTACTATTATACCATCTCTTCCAGGCAACCCTAAAATAAAATTTTGTCTAAATGCGTTTACGCTGTTAGAAAATTACTTTTTACGGTGCAATAAGACTGATTTAGTTATACGCTTAAAGACTGGTAGCCTAATATTAAATAATTTTGATCTTTTTGTCCAATACATTACTGTATATGTACGATTTCGTCAAAGAGAAGCATCCAAATGGTCTTGACAATTGACATATTGACACGGTTCACGGATATTGACGTGTTCATTAATTCTAATGTCAATATAACACTGTTTACGCACACGTTATATCAATTAACATAATCGCTCCGAGTCATTCATTATGAAGCTAACAATTATTATTAACATTCAATTTATAGAAGTTTAATTTTCACCCGACAGGCTGTTTTATTATTTTGTAATATTGTAGCATTTTAATAGCAACTACTTACTACTTACTTAATAGTAATATTTATTTCCAACACACAAATATATTCTTAACTTTGTATTAATAATTAACTAGAAAACTAAAACAAATTTAAAAAGTTACTCCCTGTGGCAGTGTACCTTTAAATAGCACTTCCTCGCTGTATTGCGATACTTATTCGTTGGCATTTTAATTGTGAATAATTTTTAAAAATCGGTCCTGTTTTTGAACCAACAAAAGTACAACCTCTGTATAATATTAGTACAGTAATTAATCAATTTTTGTGTGAAAAAAACTCCGTATTGATCTTAGACTTGATTACGATTCCCCAAGTAATATACATTTTATTCAGTTAGGTCTATCGTATTTGTATATAAATAAAAGACCTACCTGAAGCTGGCTCCAATTGGTCAACCGGCAGAGGTCGTGAAGGTAATGGATTGTTCTGCTCATCTCTCTCTCCAAGAAACTCAGCCTCCGCTAAATCTCTTACCGCTGATGACATCAGCTCTACTAGCTCTTGATTCCTGAAATAATATATTCAAAATTCATTCATTTCGGAACTATAGAAGATAAAGAAAAGGAAATTTGCGGATGACACGCAATCAAGCTAAGTAAAATCTAATCGGGACAATACCGTTTCGGAATGAGAATTGTAAAATAAACGCAATTTTCGGTTTAAATAAATATTTATAGGAAAATAAGTTTTCTTGTTATTATTATGAAAGAATCACAAACAAATTACTTAATTTAGATGTTTTGTGGATGTAAGGGAGTGCAATTATTAATTACGTTTAAAAATTGGTAACGTATTTGATAAATTAAAAAGGGCTTTAAAATCACACATGGGCCCAAAAGACTAAAATTAACTGCTGTCCGATGGCTTCGTTGTTGGATTGAAATTCTCATGAAATAGTTGTCATTTTGTTAATGAGGATAAAGTTTTTCAAACATTTAATGGAAAGATCAGTCATCCAACATCACCTGAGTTGGATTCCCGTCCAGACAATATTTGTTCTTAGAGAGATGCTGCCTTAATAGTCAAAAGTCAAAAATTTATTCGTAGGTATAGGTATGTACACTTGAACGTCAAAAAGAAATATACATTAAATGCTTCTAAATTTACATTTACTGCCAGTTCTCAAATCGTAGAACGGAAGAGAAGAACTGGCAATAAACTCTCCGCTACTCTTTTTAATCGAATGGAAAATGATTAGTCTAAGTTTTTTGGTGTGAATTGTCCAATAAAATAATAATGAACACTATTATTATTAGAGATTTATTTTCACATAAATATACAGTATTTATATACAGTAGTTCTTAACCTACATAGTAATAAGAAAATTTTAAACATTTTACTTATTTTACTGCCACAGGGACCAAACTTTTTAACTATTATCTAATATATAAAATTCTCGTGTCGCGGTGTTTGTGGTTAAACTCCTCCGAAACGGCTTGACCGATTCTCATGAAATTTTGTGTGCATATTAGGTATAAATGAGAATCGGACAACATCTATTTTTCATCCCCCTAAATGTTAAGGGTAGTCCACCCCTAAATTATGATTTTTTTATTTTTAGATAAATTTTTATTTTTTTATGATACAGCATTAAAAATACATACAACCCCTAATTTTTACCCCTCTACGATCAACCCCTATTTTTTATTATAAATGATATACATGGCAAAACGACGTTTGCCAGGTCAGCTAAAATTCGTCAGTATTGTATTAAATATTTTTAAGCGCGTATATAGATCATATGTTTAAAATTCTGCCTCGAACACACCAAACCTGTTAGGGTCACAGCCTAGTGCTGACCATACAGTTATGTGATTCACTTTCTACGTATTCATATACCGTTATAATCGTATGAACCGCTAATTAACTTTAAATTATGTTATATATTCGACGAATACGAACGAACTACGAATTTCCCCGTACTAGACAGTCTAAAGTAAGTAATTCTTTTTTGGGAAAAGGGATACTTTTCTTTAATAAAATCCTATAGGCTCTTTTATCTCTGCCTTTTCATAAATTTAAGAAATGTATTTAAGAAAAGGTGTACTTACTATAAAGTTAACGATTATCTAGTTGATAAAAGGGCCTGGGACTAGTGCTAGACAGGCTACTTCTAATTAATTTGCGATATTTGTTTTAAAATAAGTGTTGAAATTGAAACAGGTAAGAAATCTGAGGCTTAGATTTCAAATGGTTGTCACTGACTTAATGTTATACAGTAAAGATTTAAGAAATTTCACATCACCTCAGAGTTTTTATGGTTGATGCTGTCGATTCGTGTTTGTTCTCCACATCGAAAATTCGTGATAACCATCATGAGAAATAAAAAAAGAATAGGTCTGTAGCCATTGTTATTGTATATGTTTTACAATTGAACAATAAATGATTAATAAACATATGTCACGGGACCTGAGGGCTCGGTGATTCACACTTCCTTATTTGCATTATTGTAAATTACTGATAATATGTAAACTTTGTTGAGGTTTCATACGAACGGCATTTATAAGCATTGAATTCGTGTTTTATGACGTTATTCAAAGACAGATAACATCTCAATATATTTGAGGAGTACTTTTATGAATAGGACAATTTAAATTAGTAAATTTAATTCATTACAATAACAATCTTTAAAATATTTTAATAGAAAACAATTGTTTATATAAAAAACCAGTGGCGCTACAACTTATGTCTTAGGCACGGTTGCTCACGATGTTCTCCTTTATTGTATAAAATGCGCACAAAGAAAAAAATTGTGCACAGCCGGGAATCGAGCCTTATCGAGGCAGCCTCTCATGGACATTGGACAGACGTGCCCTTCAATAGCCCACATCTCACTTAACATCAGGTGGGTTGTAGCAGATGTTGTAATACCTACATTATACATATATATTATATACACTGAACAGGGTATGGGAATAAAAGTAACAGAGACGAATTTAAACGAAATAATGTTCAACGTTAGGTTAAGAGGCATCTTTTTGGAATTCGCTGTAAAGCTCATACAAAAAAACTTTAGAGGTGTCAAGGGACACCCGGATGGAACGAAATTCCTTTCGATTAATTTATATGTTAATTGGTATCATAACAGTATGATAGATTTTCTCGACACCAATCTTACGACGAAAAAAAAGCCAACATCACGAGGTTTTCCCAGGCGGTCACCCATCCAAATACTGACCTCGCCCGACGTTGCTTAACTTCGGTGATCGGACGAGAACCGGTGTATTACAATAGCAAATAGCAAAAAAGTGTCGTGACAACTTTTCGTAAGAATTTTTTCCATCTAGCCCCCTTTCACAACGCGCGATAAGGAACTTCGTTCCAAAAGTTGTTAAAAGAAATAGGTAGTAGTGTTTTTATCTGGAAAATATTAAAAAAAAACTACATTATAGTAAACAGTAGTACAACAATGCATTACGCAATCGATTAGTATTCACAACATTAGTGTTCCGGTATAGCATTACCTCATATGCACATAAACTACGGTAAAATCTAAGGCAGTTCCTTTAAAGTACTCTTTCGTCCCTTTTTGACATATTACGTTTACATTATGATGAAACGAGACATGACTTAAGTTATTAATTTCTTAACCGAATACAAAACGCACCAAACTTTTCTTATTTGTGTTGATTGGTCTTGTGAATTAATTATTTTACGATAAATTATTTATTTAGGCGGCCTTTGTTATGGGTTACCTGATGTTAAGTGATACCGCCGCCCACGGACACTCATTGCCAGAAGGATGGCTGGTTGCCGGCCTTTTAAAAATTGGTACACTCTTTTCTTAAGTAGAATGTGAAATACTTCAGTGGTACAAAGATCATATTGGGTTTTTTTAATGATATTATTGCTTCCGAATGTTTAGCAATGATTGTGTAAACAGTTTGACGATATTAGTAATTATAAACTTGTATTTGATTTCTGGCGGAGCAAGTTTGTAACCTCCTGTGTAAGGTGAAAATGAGGTGACATTAAATTTTATGGGTTTGTCAATGAAGGTTTTATTTTGAGTTGTTCTCACTAATATCTGCAGCTGAGTTTCATTATCGGATAGGCGGAATACAAAATACCATCCGTATCGCCTCGACGTCCGTTGTTCCACAACTGCCCTGCGATTCTGTAACTCACTTTCCGAACTCACACAGCGGTTTTCACAGCGACGGTCGCGCTCAAATCAGTCGTAAAGCAGTCATTTTACGGTTTGGCATTCTGATAAACAATAAACTACAAGGAGGGACCTTATCAGAATGCCAAATCATAAAATGTCTGCTTCATGAATGATTTGAAAGCGACCTCCGCTGCGAAAAGCGCTGTGTGAATTCGAAAAGTGAGTTACAGAATCGCAGGGCTGAGCGTTTCTTGAAGCAGATTTTGCCGCGCACCATCACTATGTGGAACCACTGAAGTATTTCCGAACCAATTCGAGTAACGGTCCTTCAAGAATAGGCGTACCAATTCTTAAAAGGCCGGCAACGCACGTGCGAGCCTTCTGGCAATGTGAGTGTCCAGGTGCGGCGGTATCACTGTTTTGCTTGAGGTCTATCTAAGGACTTACTAGCAGTACTATATAATTTTTCAGCTATCTTTTAAATTGAATGCAGTTAGCATACTTTGATGATTAATTACGAACTTCCTTATAGGTTTAATCGAAACAAATTCCTGAGACACAACGCCTTTTGGCATTTCTGTATATGGGTTGATATTTAAGATGACAAAGGTGAGAAAGAAAATTATAAAATTCCAACTTGAAAGCCGTAGGTAATTATAGTTTTTGATTATATTTTTAAAAAGACGAGTATTTAAGAGTTTTAACAAAGTTATTTTTTTACTCAACCAGGGTTTTACTAATATCGACACTAATATTATAAAGAGGAAACGTTTGATTGTTAGCATTAAATATTGAATATTTAATTCACGATTTGAAAAATTGTTTCACCATTGGAATAATGCATTATCCCTGATGAATATAAGCTATAATATAAACACCTCTTCGTTGTTGACACACCGTCGTTGAATACAGTAAAGGAGTGGAACGCCTTGCCCACTTTAATCAAAGTTACAGTTGGCCTACTGCAAGTCTTGACACTACCTCTCTCAAGACTCTCTCACTACCCAGCTCCAAGAACTGGGTTTCTTTGTACCTATGGGATATGTGCGACGGCGAAGGCCTAGGTTATTTGCGATACCAAGGGCCAGAACCAGTCTGTTGCATGCTGTCTCCGACACTATCGACATATTTATATATACGCAGAGGGAATTCACATTAGCGATATTGTGTAAGTTATGTCTTTAATATTATATACTTTATTATATTTTATTTTGCTCGACATTATATATTACTAGTGCCTGAACTCCTAGGTTGGTTTTTGGAGAAGGAATTTGGAAAAAATTGCTGATTTTAGACCTAGGGAATAAGAAGGTAACACCGGCTAAAGTTCTCCGATCGTACAGTGATATCATATTAAAAATTTTTAAGTCGCTGATGGTACGGATGTCTATGTGAAAATTCTTTGATAATGAAAGCTAAGTGTCGCGTAAAAGATCTTTGAATTATCGTATTGGCAATAGTCTGTATAGGATAATGTTTGTAATTCTGTAATAAATAAATAAATAATTAAAATTCCTAATCAATTTAACATATATACACTCAAGCGGCGGCTAACTAGGCATTTTTAAGCATGCCCTCCGATAGGCCGCATGTCAATTAACATCAGGTGGGACTGTGGCGGAACGTCTGTCCAGTTCCGCCTTGCGATTCTGTAACTCACTTTTCGAACTCTCACAGCGGTTTTCACAGCGGCGGTCGCGCTCAAATCAGTCGTAAAGCAGTCATTTTACGATTTGGCATTCTGATAAACAAACTACAAGCTCTCTCCTTATGAAAAGTGAGTTACAGAATTGCAAGGCTGAACAAAAAACTAATGTTCATCCGTGCAAAGCGTAAGCTAATGAAAGTAAGTATTATATCAGTTTTAGTTTTTTAATAAGAAATATGAAGGAACCCAATTTCTAATATAGTTTGATAATAATAAAACAATGTATTTAATAATTGTAATTTAAAATTTGTAACCGCTTCTTTCATACCTGGAGTTGTACGAATTAGTTTCACACGAGAATCAATGTTAAAATAATAATCCAGCTACAACTCTAAATGGTTCTTGGCAGATGGATGGCGATTATTCGATCTTTTTTATTTCCTAGTAGGTGAACATCTTTTGACTACCGATATTTGGGTTGACACATGCCGGTTCCCTCACGATGTTTGGCTTCACCAATTCGAAGATATCAAGAAATTCATATTAAGTAGGTAGATAGTATTAGTCTCGTAAAGAAACTTCTAAATTTGGGCGAAAATTCTTGCACTTTTATAGTGAGAAACTTTAAAAAAGTGTCCATCTAAAGATCCTAGTTCATCATGTGTAATTATTTGACAGTAAGGTTAGGGATTGGTTAGGGGTGAGTTCAGTGATACATACACATGGCTCAGTGGACGTCACTGCAGATAAAACCAAGAGGCAGACCAAGGAAAACATGGACAGGTTGCATCGAAGATTACTTAAGAGTGATTGGAAAGTTTACGAAGTGGAAGAAGTTCTTGAAGGATAGCGCCACTGATCTATCCATAATAGATAAAGAAAAGCAAGACTATTAGAGTGGCGCAGAGTTTGTTCTTCTTGCCCAGTGGTAGTAAACCTAAATTTAGAATCAATTTAACATCTTTTCTGTTGACGTTCATAAGTGTGCTTGACTATATGAATCTAATTGCGCACATAAAAAGCAAATTCAATTGGTGCTCAGTCGTGATTCAATTACCTGAGGGTCGCTAAAGCCGCTAGGCCAATAGGCAACAGAGCTCAATAAGAATCAATGTACGAAATATTTCCTTAACTAATATCAGCCAGTGGTTGACTGTCAGTTACTCATAATTCGTCGTACGGTATTGGGAACGTAACCACAAGATAACTTTCTAAGTTTCTCTAGAAATCCGGAGTAACATAATAAATTATTGTTTTTACACGTTTCAGCTATGTTCAATAAAAAAACTTCTAATTGAATTTAAATAGTCTTAATCAGGGTTTGCGAATCGTCCCTGTCCGTAGGTTCGAATCCCGGTAATAAAATGATCGAATAAACGTAAGATTAAGGATTATTATTGCACCAATGGACTTTTTATGTGCGCATTTAACACGTACCTACGGTGAAGGAAACCGGCTTGCCTAGACCCAAAAAGTCGACGACGTGTCAGGCACAGGAGGCGATCATCTACTTGCCTATTAGAATGACAAATGATCGTGAAACAGATACAGTAATCTGAGGCCTAAATCTTATAAGGTTGTAGTACTTGTATAAAGCAGGGTTCATATCTACACTGATATTTAAAGAGATTTTTTGTTTGTAATGTATCCATTACTATATATGTTATATATGTTATGATACATAGGCATCATATATGTTATGATGTTATGATCAAGATATGCCGTAAATAATTTCCCTCAAACTCAGTTTAAATACGCCATCTTAAAATTCAATACAAGGTCCGAATTTAAAAAATATTTTTGTAGTATTTGTCTTTTGTAAACATAACTTTAACACATTTAAAGAAAACACTTTTTTACCGGATTGAAGTCACCGTGACCACGCACGCTGTAAAGCACGCGAAACGTCGGAAAATTTTTAATTATGTAAAATAATTAAAAGTTTATAATAATATGTAACTTCAATCCGGTAAAAAAGTGTTTTCTTTAATTATTTATGTGCTAAATAACCCATTGATAGTAAGCTGCACTGTGATAGTGAACAACTGTAAGGCACTGGTAGTAAAATATAGTAATAGTACTTAGTATATTTCAACATTGAGATTTGAAGTACTAACGCAGTTTTTTATTAGTTTCTCGTAGGTTTGTTTGGATAATGATTCGGTACAGGAAAGAGAAAGTACAATGTGTTTAGGTGCAATCAGTTGCAATAACATAACGTTTTCCTTATGCAATAAATTACATTCGATTGTTATTCAGTGTTTCCTGGATGCGAAGTATACACAGCGATATAAATTTATTAAGGTGGAATTTCTAATATCTACCCATAGGCTAAATAGGCTAAATTATTTTACAAAGTAAAACTATTCTAACTCCACTAAGCAGCAAAAAACTTTCCCTGCTAAAAAATTACAAACGTATTAACGTTAATAAACATGTGTACTTATGTACACGCGTTAGAAGTTATACATATTTGGCGCAACAAGATAAAAATCTTTTTAAATTTTGTATCTTTCGCCTTATTCTACGTTTGTAGAAAAACGACACTAACAATAGAAAAACTAAAATGTTGACTATAGCTAACTTTAGGGTGTCGATTTTTTGTGACGCTGTGCACGCGCATCGTAAAAATTTACTTCCATAATTTTTCCCTAACGCGCCAAAAGAAGTATAACTTCAAAAACTTTGGTAACAAACCGAGTACCACCCACATTTTATAAGCCATCAAAACCTAAAGTTAAGCTGAGATAGTGATAGAATTATAAACCACTTGGAAATCGATTTTCCTTTAGTTTTTAAATTTAATTTTTTGGATTAATTTTTTTTTCATCTCTTCGTGTTTGCTATGTTTGCTGATAAGTGCTTGTCACATTAAATATTGTATTTTAATTTTCTTGTACCAATGTATCAGTGTGCCGATGGCTCAACAAATGGCGATTTTTATGGCTTAACAAAATGCTTCCTATTATCTAGTAATAACTAAAATCTTACCGTAAATTAGCCAATTCGGTACAAGAGTTAGCCAAGAGGTAATCGCCACTGAGTAATGCTATTTTGTTTCCAAACATCATATTATCTGGTTCTTCAATTGGACGACTTGAGTTCATATTCACAAGGCCTTTGTGAACGAGATGCGATGTGCGAATCATTTCTGTAACTTCGGCGAGGGCGCGTTGGCTGTAAAAGAGAACCAAATTAATAAAATATAATTAAAAATAATACAGTGGCGTTACAGCCTTTTTGGGTATGGGCCTCAGATTTCTGTATCAGTTTAATGGCCATGTATCAATCTAATAAGCAAGTAGGTGATCAGCCTCCAGTGCCTGACATGCCGTCGACTTTTTGGGTCTAAGCCGGTGTCCTCAAGATGTTTACCGTTCGATATCAAAATCAAATTTGCACATAGGCAGTCCCTATAACGAATAAAAATGCTCGGTCCCTTGAAATTCGTTATAAAGAGTTTACACTGTATATGAGTTTGTTTATATTTATTATACTTAAGTATAAAGAAAAATCTACAAAAAACTACGCAAGGGGTGACAATTATCAAATAAAAAAGTTTAATTAATCATTTTAATATTTATAACATTTTACCTGTGCAACACCCCCGCAGCCTTATCCTGTTCCATGTCAGGGATTTCAGGGCTGTGACCAGCTGCCTTCGACACCAACAATACGATGAGACCCCAAGCTTGCATGTTGTTCTTGCCATTGTAAATTAAGTTTCTGAAAGAGACACGTTTCTTTAAATTTCGCACATCTCCGGTTTCTATATCATATTATACTTATCATAAATGACAATCTCTACCCAATACCTTCCTAAGTTCGAATGAGCCTGAAGCACCATTTAATGATGATGTAGTATTAGCGTCAAATATAAAAAACTTAGACTGGGTATATCATGAGGTCGAAAAAAGAAATTGGACGAAATACGTCATAGATTGGTATCCCAGAGATGGGAGAAGGAAAATAAGCCGTCAAATACAGAGATGGGAACGATCTTCCGGAAGGATGGAGAAGATTAACTCGTGAAAGAGACGAGTGGAGAAACAAGGGGCCTCCCCTACGTCGGAAGACAATTTGACCATCTGGCTGCTGATAAAAAAGTGTAAAAAAATAGATATAGTTAAAATATATATGTTATCGCTTAAGTTAAAATGATGTACATTTATGTATTTGGTATTGAGATACTTGCTCGCTCAACGAATAAGTATCGCAATGCAGCGAGGAAATGCTGCCAGCGTTAAAGGTATGCTGCCGCAGGAGGGATCAAACTTTTTCTCTCTTTAATTAAAATTTAAATTTTTTTGCCTACCCATATATATGTATGTACTTTTTGTAAACACTCAATATGATTTTGCTGTGGAATGGAAGCCTGGTTATCCATATCACAGGTTCTTGCCTAGTTTGGAAACCAGTCTCCCAATGCCTTCTCAACTGTTATCTTATTGTTTCTTGTAAATGTTATATGGGAGAAAATAAAAATTATTCTTTTTTTTTTTTTTTTTCCTTTATGGCTCTGGCACGGTTTGTGCAAAAAATTATTCTTATTCTTATAATTTTTTTTAATTGTCTTTTTATTAAACTTTAATTGCTTTTTTCCTATATAGGTAAGTGATCAGACTTTAGTGTAACACATAGTTGATAAGGTCTAAGATAAGATTTAATATCGTCAAACTATTCGATATGTCAAAATTGTAAGATTTTAACATAAGAAAACACTTAGGGCTCAGTTTCAACTCTGAGGGTAACATTAAAATCCAATACAGCTTTGACATACGAGTCATAAGGGCAAGTCTTGCCAGTGTTCCACAACATTTCTCTTTAATGTTAAATTACTATGATGATTTACTTGGTGTCTTTGAATCACATAGGTATATTAGATATCTTCAAGCTTACTTTGAAATTATTTCTAGTATGTTATTACCAAGTTTGATGATATTAACAGAAGTGAAAATGGGTTGCGTATTCATGAAATATACACAACAGTGTGTAATCCAGAAATCATTTGACAGGAGAGTAACAAGTTTCAAAACAGTTTTATATATTAATTGAAAAAGCTATTGACAAATCCTATTGATATTGGTGAATGCCGATGAGTGACCTCATCATAGATGCATTGCATAGTTCGTTGCACATTTAGGTAATAAATGTTACGTACTATAACTCCTATCAGATATTTATATAAAATAATATGTTCTTCGTAACTTTAATTTCGATTAAAAAATTTAAGTATATTTTTGTGTCTTTTTCGTCACATATCTTTAAGCTACTTTGGCATAATTTCTGGTATTCAATTACCAATTTTTGATGTCAGTAACAGAGGAAATGGGCTGCGTATAACTTAAAGGTAGAGGTATGTGAGACTTCTAGGTATTCTAGACTCTATTATTCAGAGAGGTTATGCTTTGGCTTTTGAAGGTTGCTTAGTATTCTGCCAAGCAGAATATACCAGAGCTATATTCGGTAGTGGGCTTTTTATCAATTTAAAAAAAATACTTAACAATATTTTTTTCTTATCTGACCTAATTCCATATACTAGTAAAAAATTACTAGTAAAATATACAAATTTAAATATTATAAGTAAAGTAATAAGTATTTTTATTATTTTTAATTTTTGGTAAATAACATTTTTGTTTACATAGGCTGCACTAAAAGTATCGGGAATGGAATAATACCACTGTTCCTGACATATTTAAATATTTTTAATTGAAAACTCCTTTTTTTTTTAAATTGAATACCACTTTTCTTTTTTTTAAAGATTCTCGGTCTTTTCACAAAGTTTTGTCAAACTTGTTTAGTCGTTGAGAAAATGGAATTGACTCGAGAAAATTCAAGAGCGATGATTTATTATGACTTTCGAAGTGGCTTATCACAAAAACAGTGTGTTGACCGGATGATTTCTGCATTTGGTGATGAAGCACCACAATTTATCGCTGGTTTGCTAAATTTCAACGTGTACGTGTCAGGCTCAGTGATGATCCCCGTCAAGGTCGTCCAAAAACTGCAGTCACCCAAGAAAACGTTGATGCTGTGCGTAAGCTGATTGAGGAAGATCGACATGTGACATACCACGAAATTCAGTCACGAGTTTGGGTGTTCGAAAATGAGTTAAAGCCAACGAAAATTGTTCGTTCACGGAGTGTTGCAAAAAAAATGGTGGCCACGTTTGTCTCCAAAACCGGCCATGTTGCGACTATTCCTCTTGAGTGACAAAGAACGGTTAATGCAGAATGGTATGCTAGCATTTGTTTGCCACTGGTCGTTTCTGAACTCCGTAAAGAGAACTGCGACCGCCGCATCATCATTCATCACGACAATGCGAGTTCTCACACCGCGCACAGAACAAAAGAGTTTTTAGAGCAAGAAAACATAGAATTATTAGACCATCCGCCGTACAGCCCCGACCTAAGCCCTAATGATTTCTATACTTTCCCTAAAATAAAGAATAAATTGCGTGGTCAGAGATTTTCATCACCTGAAGAAGCTGTGGACGCCTACAAAACGGCTATTTTGGAGACCCCAACTTCCGAATGGAATGGTTGCTTCAATTATTGGTTCCATCGTATGAAAAATGTGTCAAATTTCGCGGAGAATACTTCGAAAAGCAATAAATACATTTTTAAATAGTAATGTTGTGTCACTTCCTTGATTCTCGAAATTTACAGTGCCGCCCTCGTATCATAATTACCATGAATTTTAGAAAATATAGCTTGTAACATATTTATATTGTAGATATAGCATTATGTAGTGAACTTTAATAAATAAATACCAAGTATTAGGTAAGAACACGCAATAGATTGTGGGAATGTTAGAATCCATTTATTATATCATTAAAGAACATGTACTTACTTAGCAGTTTTCAGCAACGGATGATTGCTTCCTACCAATTTTCGCAAATGCAACGCGACATTTGCGATTTCGTCGCTCATCACCCATCTCAAACTAAGAAAAGATGTTGGATAACCAACAATTTTCTCGGCCTCACTCACAGCTCTATTCCAATCTGGTTTGGTGTTGTGTTGTGAAACAGCACCACGTTGCGAAGTACCAGTGCTTAATTCCCTCATACAAGGTCCCCAAACTTTCGCAACCAGCGCGCTTGATGGACTAACTTTCACCAAATCACATCTCAAAGCACTCCTTAAACGGCTCAAACTCATCTTGAATTTTTTTACACGTTAAAAAAAATATATTTAGTATTAACACCAACGCAATAACTTTCACACTTTCTTATAATATGATATTAATAATTTTGTGATTCGTTTTTCGTAAAAGAACCTGATTAATGTAGGTGCGGATCGACGTCCGTCGTTTTGCCGCTAAAACTATAAACTAAAATGAATGAAACAATTTGAACGGCTGTAAGTGCGCATTGGAGAACGCAAATACAAAGCTGAATTATGATTGGTCAGTGATCTGCAAAATATTAATGATAAGCGAATGAATGAAAATGCGAGTTTTAGTAAACCGTTCTGTGTTTAATATACTTCACTATATCACGCGCTAATAAATTATAGTATGAATAGTAGGTATTATCTGCAACAGAACACAACTACTCTAGTTATACAAATTACTTTCAAACTAAGTCTATATTAAAATCCGTTAAAGTAAAATAAAATGTAAATGCTTAAATAAATTTAATCCGTAGTAGGTAAATACTAATTTTATTATATATTTTAAGAGATCAAAAAATAATGAAACAATTTTTACATAGCAAATGGGTATCGGAATAATATTGCTATTCAACAATATAAGGCACTTGATACAACAAGTAATTCGTACAAAAAGTAATCATATATTCTTATATAATATTATTTATATTTTTGGAAGAAACTTGTACTGCATCTTCTATATTATACTAATTGTAAATTTAAATATGGGATTAATTGATTAAGTATCTCTTATCTCAATTACAGGAAGAATATGTGCAAACTTATAATAACATCAAAAAATCTAAATCTAAAAGATTCTTAGTTGATGAAAGAGCACTGTAAAAGAACCGATTACTTTTAATTTGGATCTTTTCGTATTTTAGTTTATTCCCTTTCGATTTTTTCTTCATTTTTCTGTTTATAACAGTGACGTTGACAGTAGCCGCTAGCGCCAAATGTCAGATGGCATATGAACGTTGATTGGTTGTCGTCATTACAGGTCACAATGATAGTTCACTCTTCAATCTTCATTTCACAATTACAATCTTCAATCATTTTTCTCAGTCATTCGCGAGACACCGGCATTTATAGTCGACTGATGAAGGTCACTATTTAACGCCGGCTTTTGCGTTCTATTTTAAAAAAATTGCTTTGAAATCTATCAGTTTTAAAGACAAAATCTGTGAAAGTGTGACGAGAGTACAGTGCAATTGTTGAGCACAATTTTTTAAATCAATTAAACTTATTTCCGAGGTAAGGTACTAAAATAATGTTATTAACTCACTCAATTAATACCTAGTACTACTTACTGACTGTTCAGGTATTACTGAATTGCTATAATAAGCTTAAATCCACGTGTATTGCGTACGTGGTGAAAGTTTTAATTTACCTAAATTACACCATAATTTTTCAGTGGCGTTGGCGAATGACTCCCAACTATAACAAATAAGGGCTTATTGAACAAATACACATAAATAAAATATATAAGCTTGTTACATGAATAACTTTAAAGTTTAAACGATATACTTGAAACGACCTCTAATTACCTTCTAGACATTAATGGAGGAGCTACATGATATTTCCTTGCTTGAATAAATGTCACAGTTGAGACGTACAACGTAGTTATTTTATACATGGACAGAATTTTCGTATCGTTGAAATATTAAGAAACATATATGTTAGGGATATATCCAGCCTTGATTTTATTAACACCTCAAGGGACATGCCAATGTAGGCATACTTTAGGACTTAAAATATTTTCCTCTTGTGGTTTAGATTAAAATGTTATACATATTTTGTTTGTTACTGTTATAAGATTTTTAGATTAGATTTATTTTTAATTTTATTTTTATTTTTATTGAAATTCTCTCAATTATATTTTAATTCTGATGTCAATAAAACAGAAAATTAAAATATGCGTAAATATTTTTTTACATAGTACTTTAAATATTTCTATGACAAGATTAAGAATATAATCTGATATCAAAATCGATATACCAAAACATATTACAAAAATCTGTGAAAGTTGGAGAAATGCTGGCTGAGTTGCTTGTCTGCAAAATTGTGGAATATTCTAGACAAAAAATAGATGTAATACGTGGTACATACATAATTTAGCTGGGTCAGATGGAGCTTAATAATAAAAATATTAAAACCATTTGTCACTTAGTTATTGAAGATGAATAATCTTTTGTCCCCTTAGAAAACATATTTTATCAGCTGTTAATACTATTTTACTATCAATATTTACAACAAGCTATAGAATTTCTTAATATGATCTAGATAACAGCCTTATAAAGCAATAAGAATTAAATCCAATTAAATATTATGTTCAATTTAAATACTGTATTCAATAATGCTATAAATATTAATCTAATTTATTCATAATCATGAGTGTCACACAGACATTGATTGTGTTCTGTAAGATTAAGATAAGGTGTTACATAGAATGTTCAATGTAAACCTAAGGTTTAATCTTCTCTGGGTACATACCTAAATATATAACTTAGAATGGAAGATTTTTTTCATAGGAGTATTGGAGGGTTAAGCAACAATTTATTTTTATACTAGTAGACCTAACAATAAAAAATTTATATAACATTAGTTTGTAAACTCCTGTTTAACTCGGTGAATGTTCATCAAATTTTATTAATTCTACCTTATTATTATAAATAAATCTTTCTTTGTCTACTATTTGTTTTATAGGAAAAAGTCTACTAAAAATTAAATTATATAACTCAATCACGCCGACACACAGGACAAATACAATTGGTTGGAAAATAAAATTGCAACCACTACTAAAGAACATAGCAAAAGGAAAGAGAACCTATACAACAGGATGACAGAAAAAACCGTCAACCTCCTTAACCAAAGAGCAGTTCTAATAAGTGCGAAAAATACTGGTAAAAATAGAAAAGAAATTGCAAGAATTAGTAAAGAAATAAAAGAAAACATTAGGAAAGACAGGAGACAACATCGTATGGAAACAATAGAGAGACATATTAGACAGACAGGAGGAATAAAGAAGGCGTACAAAGAACTAACTAACAAGAAAAGAATGGATTGTTAAGATGAAAGATAGAAGAGGAGCGAAGAAAATTGGTAGACAAGAAATACTCAAGATCGCTACTGACTACTACACCGAACTATACAAAAATAACACAAATAAAAGAAAATAGACTTACCAGAGTACGAAACGGTACCTTACATCATGCAGGAAGAAACTGAAAAAGCTATTGACACACAGAAAAATTATAAAACTCAGGGCCAGATGGCATAAGCAATGAAATACTAAAGCAAACGAAAGTAGCAGTGGCACCGATACTTACAGAAATTTTCAACTACGTGATCAACACAGAAATCATCCCAAAAAGTGGACTGAATCCATCATAATCCTTATATTCAAGAAAGGGAATCACTGCGATATTGGAAACTATAGACCCATCAGTCTAATGTCTAACATTTACAAAATTTTTGCAAAGATTATTTTGGAAAGAATAAGAAGGAAATTAGATGAGCAACAACCCATTGAACAGGCAGGATTCCGAAAGATTTCTCGGTGTAGACCACATCCACACTGTAAGACAAATTAGAGAAAAATACAATGAGTACCAGCTTGTATACTACAAGTTTTATTGATTACAGTAAGGCTTTCGATCTTGGGGGTCCATGCTGGGTCTCTCTCTAAAAAGAGGGGGCGGTGGTCACTCGGACGGGTGATTTGGTGACTGGATGAATGTGAGGGATTAATATTGATAGTTGGGAGAGAATGAAGGGTGTCTATACATGTCTGTGAAGGGACAAGTCTTTTTTTTATTTATGTTATTATATAATACTTAAAATGTATGTGGACATGGTGTAAGGTGAGCTCTTACAAACGTTGTAAAAAAAAAAAAAAAACATGGCGATTAAAAAGAGTGGGGAGAGTTAGCCAGTTCTTCCCTTTACCCTTGATTTGAGAACTGCAGTAAATGTAAAATTAGAAGCATTAATATTTATTTTTAATGACGAATCACAAGGTACATTGTGTTACCTACGTGAATAAATGATTTTTGAATTTTTTGAATTTTTGATACACTCAAAAATCTGGGAAGCCTTAAAGGAACTGGGTATAGAGCACAAATATATAAGAATTATAAAAATATTTATAAACAAGTTCGGCTTGTATCCGCCTAGAAAAAGAAGGAAATAAATTTCAAATACAAGGGTGAACAGGGTGACCCTTTCACCAACACTCTTTCTGGCCGTAATAGAAATGATCTTCAGGAATCTGAATGAGAACATGGGCATAACTTTAATGGCGCGCCTAAGCACCTACGATTCGTGATATATCGTATTATTTGTAAAAACACCAGTGATCTAAGCAAGATGATAAAGACTGATGGAAAGTGAAAGGCCGATAAGCTTAACCCGGAAAAAACAAAAATCATGACCAATGGCAACAAAGACCCTGTAATAGTGGAACAGAACCAAATCCCTACGTGGAAGAATATTTATACCTCGGTACTGATTCTCCAGACGACAAGGAAACAAAGAAGTCGAAAGAAGAGTTGCAAACGCTGGAAAAAATATTGAGCTAAAGAAGTGATGAAAGACAAGACCCTACACAATTAACGAAAAGCAAATTATTTAACACATGCATCCAGTCTGGCTTAGGGAGCGAAACATGGGCTTTAACAAAAAACGTAACAAATAAACTCTCCGTATATCAACATGCCATGGAAAGGAGATGACTGGGATCAAAAGAAAAGACAAAGTAAGGAGTAGCAACATCAGAGGAAAGACTAAGGTACAGGACATAACTTTGAAAATAAGAAGACAAAAGTGAAATGGAGGCCACATGATAGGGGAAAGGACAATGGAGTAAAAAAATCACACAATGGTACCAGAGATGGAAAGAAAAGAAGGTAGACCAAAAGTGGGACGACGACATTATACAAGTCGCGGGAACAACATGGTAGATGGCCATAGAAAGGCCAGAATGGAGAAGGTTGAGGAGGCCTTGCCATCTGGAAACGAACCAAAAGTGGAAGAAAATAAATATACGAAAAATAAAGGAAATACTGATGATAGAGTCTACTAAAAATTAAATAATATAACTCAATCATAACAAAACATATTGAATCGAAAAATATTGATCATTGTATTAATTATTCTGGTTTTCCTCAATAATAAACTTGCTTGAAGGTGTTTTAAAATTTACTTTGCAATTTGCATGTGCATAACAATGGTTTTATTATTACTAAGTGTAACTATGAAAAGCCAATTAATGGAAAGCGAGGGTGTTATCAGTTGTTAATGCTATTAATTAGATTCTTATCTAGTTTACTTTTGATAACAGACCTTCCATCAGATGATGGATATTACATAAAAAAAGCCTCAACCTGAAAGCATTTGGCACGGGCATTTTGATATCATTGATATTATTGACTTGTAGGACAAAATCTGTCGATGTTTAATGAATATGGTGATTAGCACTAAGATTTTGTAAAAGATATTTTTTTGGAACTGATACAGGGTATCCCTAATATATCTATGGCCTATCCCATACTTCTGACATTTGCAGCACACGAATCAAAACAAAGTTTCATGTTTTAAATATTGAAAAAATACATATCTATTAAAATATTAGAATTAATTGAAATTGGTTCAGCGGGTTATAATGTTGTCAGATGCAAGATGCAAGGATCAACTTGAATGATTATCGGATGGAATTTTTCAAGAAATCTATTATCGGCCGTCTACGTCATATTATATTGAAGATAATTTTGGTTACTATATACTAGAAAAGTCATTAACCCCGAAAAGTTACGATCATCTTTTATTGACATGATTACATACACTGATATCGTGTCAGAATGAGAAACTAGTATTTGTTAAGAGAATCTTTGAGTTTGATCTAGATTCTGTAGTCAAGCAAAGAAGTCAAGTTGGTCATATAAGTTGGGCAATTTTCACTAGAAACATTTTATACTAGGATTTATTATTAATTAAATAAAAATATAAAACTTATTTTTCTTTACAAAACGAAAACAACGCAATAGATTCCTTGCCATGTTTCTCAGTGTAAACATCGATTGGCGGCCATTCCAACACAATATCACTTAATTCAAAATCCAATACATTTTTGACGTACGGAAGTCAGACTTAGCACTAAGTTTCGTTTCTGAACCTCACCCTTAGACATACCACAAGGCTAATTCGTAACAAATTAGGATCTTTAAAAATTAATTTGCTTCAAACGATTTGGAAGTTAAGATAGTTTGTTTGCCCCAGGTATGGAGTGGGAAGGGCCGGCCAAGCAAGGCTTGTACGACCCTCAGAACGAGCACGAGGCCTGTGGCGTTGGATTTGTAGTCGCTATCGACGGAAAACGTACCCATAAAGTAAGTATATCATGTTACAAACTAAAAATCAACTGTCATGATTACTGGCTCGCATCAACTATTTTTGGTGAGGCGAGGTGAATGGTGTCGTATTGATTGTCTTTATCAAGAACTTACATAAGAGCTACGGATGTTTTTACGCCAGTAGAGTCGGCGTAAAGTTCGTATGTCAGACACAGTTGAATGCTTATTTACAAACACTGTAACAGTTATCTTCTCAATGCTTTATTACGTTAAATATATAGTAGAGAACACACGAAATTTGTATATTATAAATAGCATTTATTGACACTGTTAATGAAGTTTCACAACTATCGTATTGGGTATTAGCTGTTAGGGTATTAAAAGTAAATAACGTTTAGTTTGTTATAATTTTTGTTTTGTATAACATTTGGTTATGCACTTCTTTCACTTTACTTATCATATTTTATTTTAGTTTTTCTCTTACTGGTTGCCAGGAAGAGATCGCTTGTTAGCGATAAGGCCACCCGTTGCATTCCTTATAATTTTTATGTATTGTTTGTTATTTTAATGCAACGAAGTGTGAATAAATAAACATTTGATACCACAGTTGATCGTGTATGACTTACGTCTCCAGACTGTTTAAAACTTCGACTTAGAAGACAAAATATTTCATTTGCTTTTTATTTTGTATTTGGAATTGATTATTGTTATTGTCTTCGACTTCTACACACTGGTATGGTATGCTATGGTTGGTGGACGCAGTTTCTGCACTTAAACTCTCACTAGGTCCGGTGTGCGTAAAGTCCTGGGCCCTGGCTAACTAAACTCGCCTAGCTCCTTCCAGAAGTCTCCTGGGCACATCGCAGACTTCCCGGAGGACTTCTACACACTTAACTTATATATTATAAGCTGGTTGCTTACGTTTTTAGATTGTCCGCGATGCCGAAACCCTCGCGAAACGTATGGAACATCGTGGTGCGTGCGCGTGCGATAACGACACCGGAGATGGTGCTGGGGTGTTGACTGCTATTCCGCATCAGTTCTACTGCGCTCAGCTGAGGTAAGATTTGTTTAAGATAGAAAACTCTGTTGATGACATTTCCTTTAAAATAACTATACCTACACCGTAATAACATCAGCCATATCAAACGTGTATTTTTCAGATATTACATTGTGACCAGATGATGATATGATTGTAAAACTGGTCTCCATTAACCCGTTAATATGATTATTCAAAGTATGTCTTTAAAAAATCATTTTAAAATACTGTCTTTAGTGTGCAATGCGTATAAACTCGGTTCATTGACCAGAATATTCAATTCAAGAAGTTGTACCGTTGGTTTAAAAAATGATATAAGAAAATCGAAATTGTTGGCTCCTCGCCAAACTCGGAGACCCTGTCTGGCATTCTGCCAGCGATTTGACAGGAAATCCATAGCAATACATAAAACCTGTGACCTAGAAATTCCTTAGTATATATGTATTACCTTATTTTCTATATTGGTAACTCAGTAATTCTTACCTAATACCCTTTCAAAACAAATAATGGACGTTGTAACTCTAACATTGTTAAATCTATTTATTTATTTATTTCTTAGCACAGCATATCATACATCGGCTTCTGTCAGCTGTCATTGTCATTATATGTCACAGAGCTTGTAAATTTTCACCGTTAACACCTGCCTGTTAAGATTTGCCAATATTACAAGATGTCAATACAATGGCAGCTGGAAGTTACGACATTGCTCCAACATAATAATTAATAACATAATTATTTAATTACACATTTATAAAATAATTTGCAGTTTAGGATGATAGGTGCCTTTCTACGTTTTTTTTTAATTTATCAATCCACTGTCGAATTTATTAAGCTCTATTCATTCTGTTGTATTCGTGAATTTGATCTAACGAACCTATTATGTGTTCGTTTATATAAATTGGCGAACATAATATCAGCGTATAAAAGAATACTTCTTACACTTTAAGGAACTGTATTTTTTTACAATGCTAATAAATTTGGCTTTCTCATAATAAAAAGGCCTTCTTAAAAGGCCGACAACGCACTCACGAGCCCTCTGGCATTGAGAGTGTCTATAGGCTGCGGTATCACTTAACATCAGATGAGCCTCCTGCCCGTTTGCCCTGTTCTAAAAAAAAAAATTAAATATTACATTTTAAATACAATTCATAAATCTTTTTGGGAATTGAATCCAAACGCGCAAGTAATACAACCAAACGTTTGTGTAACGTATTTTAAAATTAAATGACATGTGTATACGTCCTTACAAAATCATTCTTCCATTTATCTGTCCTTGTAGAAAAAACCTATTACGCGATATCTATTGACAATATATTTACATGTAAATGATACTCATGTATGCAATAGAAGCCAGAAGTCGTTCTATTATCATTATAACTACTGGTAGGTAATTATTTTGTATAGAAATTTTACGTCTTTACTTATTTTATTATATTTTTAATATTGTTTTAAATACTAGCTGATCCGGCAAACGTCATTTTGCCATGTATATCATTTATAATAAAAAATAGGGGTTGATCGTAGATGGGTGAAAGTTAGGGGTTGTATGTATTTTTTTATGCTGTATCATAAAAAAATAAAAAAAAAGTAATTTATCTAAAAATTAAAAATAATAATTTAGGGGTGGACTACTTTTAACATTTAGGGGGATGAAAAATAGATGTTGTCCGATTCTCAGACATACACAATAAGCACACAAAATTTCATGAGAATCGGTCAAGCCGTTTCGGAGGAGTATGGCAACGAAAACTGTGACACGAGAATTTTATATATTAGATAGAACGCTAGTTAATAAACTGACTGCGTGAGTCTCCAATTTTTTTTTATTTTAGATTAAATTATAATATGTATCTTAAGAATTAATTAGGAATTACTGTTTTGAATTGATACAATTATTTTTGTGTTCGGTAGTCCCTTCATATAGGCTAACACTCTTAATTAATATAGATATAAGCGTTATTAAAAAAAAATAACAGTAATCAATATAAGCATGCCCTAAGACGCATCTAAATTGAATAATACATAGGATAGGACATATTTTGTCTAAAGAGAAAAGGTGTAGAGTATACTCCTCCCTCAAAGGCCGGCAACGTAACCAGCAGTTAAAATTATTGTTCATGAGCTGCGAAGACTGCCCGTTTTGGGCATCCCGTAGGCTGGTTCTGCCCCCTATTCTATTTTAAAAAAAAATATTAATTATTAATACAGATATATTAATAATTTTTCAAAATTTTTACGAGTCATATTTTAATTCGTACCTACTGTATAAAATAAAAATTATTGCACACATATTAAGAACATTATATTATATGCACTATTGGGAATTAGACAGCCTTGATTCAACTATCTTGGGATTAGTATGGAAAATATTATTGATTACTCAAGGGAAATTTCTACTCGACATTATCTTATCAGTTCTGTCTCGATGTTGACATTGCAAAGATGTCTGCAATAGTAACTGGTGTTAGGTTTAAATAGATAATTATGGTTGCTAATAATATTTATTACATGAGACTGACAATTATTAGGCATAATAAAAAATTATTTGTAAGAATATGGTACAAAAATATGTTGGTGGTACAATATAAACTTTGCATATTCTGCCAAAGGTAATGCGTGCAAATTTGTATTACATAATTAAAAGGTACAATTTTACATACAAGTTGCATATTACACTATCAATCATATCATCATAGTCAATTCTTATATTATTTTGTGGGGGGGGGGGGGGTGGTGGGGGGGGGGGGGGGGGGGGGGGGGGGGGGGGGGGGGGGGGGGGGGGGGGGGGGGGGGGGGGGGGGGGGGGGGGGGGGGGGGGGGGGGGGGGGGGGGGGGGGGGGGGGGGGGGGGGGGGGGGGGGGGGGGGGGGGGGGGGGGGGGGGGGGGGGGGGGGGGGGGGGGGGGGGGGGGGGGGGGGGGGGGGTGGTTTGGGGGGGGGGTGGGGGGGGGGGGGGGGGGGGGGGGGGGGGGGGGGGGGGGGGGGGGGGGGGGGGGGGGGGGGGGGGGGGGGGGGGGGGGGGGGGGGGGGGGGGGGGGGGGGGGGGGGGGGGGGGAGGGGGGGGAGGGGGGGGGGGGGGGGGGGGGGGGGGGGGGGGGCGGGGGGGAAAGAGCCAAAAGAAAAAAAAAAAAAAAAAAGGGGTGGGGGGGGGGGGGGGGGGGGGGGGGGGGGGGGGGGGGGGGGGGGGGGGGGGGGGGGGGGGGAGGGGGGGGGGGGGGGGGGGGGGGGGGGGGGGGGGGGGGGGGGGGGGGGGAAGGGGAGGGGGGGGGGGAAGGGGGGGGGGCGGGGGGCCCCCCCCGGGGGCCGGGGGGGGGGGGGGGGGGGGGGGGGGGGGGGGGGGGGGGGGGGGGGGGGGGGGGGGGGGGGGGGGGGGGGGGGGGGGGGGGGGGGGGGGGGGGGGGGGGGGGGGGGGAGAGGTGGGGGGGGGGGGGGGGGGGGGGGGGGGGGGGGGGGGGGGGGGGGGGGGGGGGGGGGGGGGGGGGGGGGGGGGGGGGGGGGGGGGGGGGGGGGGGGGGGGGGTGGGGGGGGGGGAGGGGGGGGGGAAGGAAAGGGGGGGGGGGAGCCGGGGGAGATTTTGGGGGGGGGGGGGGGGGGGGGGGGGGGGGGGGGGGGGGGGGGGGGGGGGGGGGGGGGGGGGGGGGGGGGGGGGGGGGGGGGGGGGGGGGGGGGGGGGGGGGGGGGGGGGGAAAAAAAAAAAAAAAAAAAAAAATTTTTTTATTTTTTTTTTAAAAAAAAAAAGGGAAAAAAAGGGGAAAAGGGGGGGGGGGGGGGGGGGGGGGGGGGGGGGGGGGGGGGGGGGGGGGGGGGGGGGGGGGGGGGGGGGGGGGGGGGGGGGGGGGGGGGGGGGGGGGGGGGCCCCGGGGGGGGGGGGGGTGGGGGTTTTGTGGGGGGGGGGGGGGGGGGGGGGGGGGGGAGTTTTTTTTTTTTTTTTTTTTTTTTTTTTTTTTTTAAAAAAAAAAAAAAAAAAAAAAACCCGGGGGGGGGGGGGGGGGGGGGTTTTGTTTTTTTTTTTTCCCCCCCCCCCCCCTCTCCCCCCCTTGGGGGGGGGGGGGGGGGGTTTTTTTTGGGGGGGGGGGAATAAAACCCCCCCCCCTTTATTTGGGGGGGGGGGGGGTTTTGGGGGGGGTTTTTTTTTTTTTTTTTTTTCGCCCCCCCCCCCCCGGGGGGGGGGGTTTGGGGGGGGCGGTTTTGGGGGGGGGGGGGGGGGGGGGGAAAGCGCCCCCCCGTTTTTTATTCTTCCGGCGCTTTTTAATAACAAAAAACCCCCCTTGGGCCCCCCTACCATTATATTATTTTATCACTGCATCACATTATTAAAATTTATTATTACATTATCAAATTAATATTAATTATTATGTTTCACTCAAATAATCATTATTATTATTATACTTTTTTTTAAAGTAGTATATTTAAAAAATCTATTAGGAAGATCTTTGATAGTTTTTGGTAAATTATTGGCATACAAGTTGTCTTATTCCTATACAATTCCAGATTTCCCCCGGCTGCCATCTTGGAAAAAGGGGTGTAAACACGTTTTTGGCTATGTCTCCTAATATATAAAAAAAAAATTGTGCAGACATATTTCGTAGCAAATCGCTTTACCTACAATTATGTCTGTGTGTCTTTTTATCATAAAGCCAAAATTCAGATAATAATTGCGTCCTCTAACAAATGTTCAGCAAATGTAACATTTCAATGGACTATAGTAAGAACAAAACACGAAAAAAAAGTAATTTATTTATAAAATCACGATTTATCGTCATTGTCTTAATGAATAATTTTTGTGGGAATTACGATGAAATATGGCTTGCTATAATCGCTGTAATATTGTTTTTGTATCAATTATAATTAAACCACAATTTATTAAAGGATGGACATATTTGTATTGTTATTGCCGACACGGTACACATAGGGAATGGTTGAGATTTAAATATTCATACAACACTTCTGAACATCTAAAAAGTAAACAATCGTATACTATTAAACTGAATTTGTTATGATTTTGATTCAAGTCAACTTAGCGATAA